TCTGTTACCTAGATCTGTAATGGTCCTATCAAACATAGAAACATAAATAGAAGTAAAACTGCCTGTCTGTTACCTAGATCTGTAATGGTCCTATCAAACATGGAAACATAAAACAGAAGTAAAACTGCCTGTCTGTTACCTAGATCTGTAATGGTCCTATCAAACATGGAAACATAAAACAGAAGTAAAACTGCCTGTCTGTTACCTAGATCTGTAATGGTCCTATCAAACATAGAAACATAAATAGAAGTAAAACTGCCTGTCTGTTACCTAGATCTGTAATGGTCCTATCAAACATGGAAACATAAAACAGAAGTAAAACTGCCTGTCTGTTACCTAGATCTGTAATGGTCCTATCAAACATGGAAACATAAAACAGAAGTAAAACTGCCTGTCTGTTACCTAGATCTGTAATGGTCCTATCAAACATGGAAACATAAAACAGAAGTAAAACTGCCTGCCTGTTACCTAGATCTGAAGGCACATAGACTAGTTCAGGTAGCTACACATACACACAGTAAAATTCTGTCTGTAAATAATGGCCAAGAGCGACATTAACATTTGTGCCATGCCGTAATGAGTTGTGTGAAATGTATCATATTGTACCTATAGAGAAGGAGGTAATTTAAAGTCAATAATTAAGATGGTGACAAATTTTGATGAGAATAATTTCAAGTTTCGATTTTTCTATCGGACATGTTAGTTGAATATTCTAAGATCACTTTCTATTTGGCTCCTTGCGATTGTTTTGAATGAATTTTTTTGATGCGCAAATTAAGAAATAGCAATAACAATCTTCACATGTCAGATCAAAAATGGTTGCCTGTCGGCCATTTTGTCTTTTTGATCAGTCTGAGAATGAAAAGAACACAGCAGCTTTGGATCAAAAGGAACCTTATAAAATTTGTAAAATATCCATTCAGTATTTCTCTAGAAACAAGAACAGTTAAGGACAAGATGACAGGCCCAGGGGGATGTAAAAAATGGGAGAGAAAAGTTAACAGAAGTATCTCTTATATCAAGTAAATGTTTATCACTGGTATAATGAATAACAATTTTTTTTATAAAAAGAGATAACAATCATTATGTAATGTAACAATATTGCTTTTGTATAGCCCGTATATCTAATTATATGTTATACACCACCCAATCACTGAAGACCTCATACCCACATCATCAATTTCTTCTGAAGAAAAATGCTGCAAGCAAAACACTGACTGATTTTTATAGAAAAAAAAAAATAAAAAATAAAAAAATTCAAATCCTAAACAAAAAATCACTTAAGTTTAAAAGTAACTGACCATTTGACTGACAAACCTTCGTACATAACAGCTAAATTGAAGGAATTAATGTAAGCATCCTATTTCAAATCATTACAGAAACTTGGCATCAATGCTGAACTCAATCATTTGTTATACTGAAAGTGGTTCAGCTTAAGACATTATGCATACTTGAACATTTGTTAAACACATCAGTGCGATTATTTTGGACATAATCCCACTCAAGTGTTTAATTACAGAACCTTGTAAGCCATAAATTACATGGGAAATGCATATTCAAAATTGATCAGAATTATAAAGTGTGGTTCAAAATGCCCGGTATAAAACATTATAACTATCTGTATTATGATAAGGAGGCTAGCACAACAACAGGCACTTGATGGCTTCTTTGTAACTCTTGTCTGTCCCAATAATGATATCACAATTTAGACGAATATCATGTTGTAGAAATGTTGTCCATCTACAGATGACTGTAATGCTGAATTTTTACTCAAAGCAATTTCCACTATGTACTTTGCTTTTTTTTACAGTACGTACCAAGTTGTTAAATTTTAATTGAAGCTGGTAATTTCAAAATAATTCATATATTACAATTTAAGGCATCATTCCACTGTTAAATGTTGTAACATTATTGTTTACAAAACAGATGTGACTGGTGTTTACATTACAAATACACTAAAACAATACATTATATCGCAGATGAGTGTGTATACACTTTTCTCGTTGTGTTGACCTTATCTGAGGTGTGTTGCTTCCAGAAAGTGATGTTTGTTTCCTATTAGGAGCAATTAACTATATATACATTCCAACATTGATGAAAAAATGAAAATTTTCATACCACTTCCTCAAGTAACAAAGGCATTCGTTTTTTAAAAATGCCAAATTTCTGCAGGTTGTTCCTATGTGCAAGAAAATAGGCATTTGTTCTTTGGCCCTACAGAAATCTAAGGAATTGGGTAATATTTTGTTCCAACATATCAAAAAAATAACTGAAGACTTTGTAACATTTGTTCATAAAACCAATTCTCTTAGAGATAACACTTACTTGTGTCAATACCTGATTCTTAGCAATACATTACTGACATAACCTTGTTCAAGCTAGCCCTGCACAGATCATCAACAAATAGAGTTTACAAACATACGAACCATCATTAAAAAAAGCAAACAAATATTGTCACAGTTTGATTTTAAGTAGAAAAGTGCATACTTTAACAACATATTACAGAAGATTGTAAGTGAAGATTACATTCAAACTCTAAGAAAGCCATACATTTTCAAAACATCGGTATCAACATAATCATCTAATAAACAAGTTAGATATTGAGAAAGTGGTTTTTGATTGACAGCATGCATCAATTAAAAACTAACAAAATTACAGAAAAAGTGGAATTGATTATATATGTAATATAAAAAACAAAAAATGCCTAATATTTGATTTATTAAATAAAGAACATCAAATTATAATAATTTTACAAACAAAAAATAGAAAAGGAATGTTCCCACAACCTTGGTCTATAATACATCACAAAGTATTTCTTCATGTATAAAAGTTATATAAAAACAAGGAACAGAATACACAGCAGTTTGTTCAAGAGTTGTCTCCCATTACATTACACTGAAGAGGTTGGTATTTTATAATCATAAAGATGGTTGTTAAAGAGTTGTCTCCCATTACATTACACTGAAGAGGTTGGTATTGTATGATCATAAAGATGGTTGTTCATGAGTTGTCTCCCATTACATTACACTGAAGAGGTTGGTATTGTATGATCATAAAGATGGTTGTTCAAGAGTTGTCTCCCATTACATTACACTGAAGAGGTTGGTATTGTATGATCATAAAGATGGTTGTTCAAGAGTTGTCTCCCATTACATTACACTGAAGAGGTTGGTATTGTATGATCATAAAGATGGTTGTTCAAGAGTTATCTCCCATTACATTACACTGAAGAGGTCGGGTTATATGATCATACAATCATACATGTTTGTTATAGTAATTATATAATCAGTTATAATCAAGAGTGACCTTTCATATACTGCCATAAGTTTAACAAGATGTATATCATAGCAGTTACCTTATATTTTACTTATGGTTTAAACATGCAGATGTTATTTATCAAGTATAAACACTTGCCAAATTCATATTTTCAAATCGTTATGTTTTATTTGATACAATACCTACAGTGGAATATTTAATCTTGTGACAAGTTCATACAGAGTAGTTTCCCCTTAATCAAACTGTTACCAAAGTAATTTGCTGAAGTGGATTACTTATCTCTGTTATATATATTATATTATATATTTCATCAAAAAGGCAAGCTTATTATAGAATGTGTAGGAACTCATGATTAATCCTTTTTACTCTGGGAAGCTTTGACTAAATATTCACTCTATACATCACTGTCCACAGGGAGAAACTCTTTAAAAGTCAAATTCAAATATTAGTAATGCCCTTGATATCTGTGACCTTGAAATGAAGGTCTAACAAAGACAGTGTTTCACCTGTTGTCAGTTATCATAGTCACTGATCCAGTGTCATCTCCCTATCTATCCATGATAAAGACATTCCAATCTTGTTTTAACAACAGAAGACACTAATTACCTAGTACTCCTTGATATTGGTTTGTCTCAGCATTTGATAAAATAACATGACTAGAGACAAAAGAATCGTGACAATGATTTGTTATAATAAACTTCAGTACCTATTCCAGCATATCACTACACATCATTTGATCTAATCAAGATGATATTGAACATAACAAAATAAATCTTTAAGAGACAACAAAAAACAATACATATTAAAGATAAAAGAGTGGTGATGTAAAATACAACAGTCTACACACAAAAACTGCCATTAAAAAGTACATAGTGATAGTAGGTAACACACATACCTATATAACCCAAGAATTAAATCTATAGCTAGGCTATATATAATTCTCATGATGACACATCTATAAACAAAACCAGTGGTGTTATAACAATAAATTATCTTACAATGTCTCTAACCTTACCTGTCAGACTACGGAAACATTTAACTGTAGTACAAATTTTATAACAGCTTTAACTAAAACTTGTCAAGCTGTAAGGAAATTCAGAACACGAAAACGGTGACGAAAATTTTAAAGAAGAAATAAAATCTCAGATTGAACAACATTGCCTTTGAAAAAGCGTGCATATATAAAAATCCTTAACTGTCAACAATAAATGACAAATTCAATAGGTCAATGATAGAAAAATGGTTTACTCTCATAGCACTCACTCTGACTTATCAGATAGATGTTAGAAGGGAGATAACTCTATAGAATATCACATGTATAACATGTAAGGTAAGATATCACCTTAAGGTTTCAGTTGTGTAGTGTATAGATATCATATACAACAGTTTGAGATAAAAATCTACAACAACAAAAGTAGAATGATATAAATTGGGAAAAACGCATCAAATAAGCATTAAAATGATGATACTAGATTTGTCCACCGGTAAATTGAGGACTTTATATAACTATGGAAACACAGTAGGATTAAACACAGATAGTGGTGTAGTAACATATCACTAATTTGTATACAGCTCTATTGCAAACAGCTAATTGCATAAGTTGATATTATGCTGTCTTTATTGTTCATAAGTGTAGAATCTAAAACTATCACTGTGAAACTATATTAACACAAATCTCATAAGTTCCCAGGTTTGATATATTGTTAGGTCAGAACTCCCCCGTGTCATACAATTACAATCTGTGTGAGGCACGTCTTTCCCTCCAACATTTCGCTGATATCCTCCTGTAGGATATCCATGATTCGTTGTAGTTTGCGGGTTTTTGCTGCCGATGTTACAATCTTTGGCACTTTAATACTAGATACAGTCTCTTCTGTCTGAATCTTTGGCACTGTCTTTGAACTGCTTGCAAGGAGTTTCTCTACATCTGAATCTTCTATAACTAAAAATGCATCATCATCACCTTCAGCATCCTCTTCTTTATGTAAAACATCTTTTGCATTATCTTTGGTCTCATCAGACTGATCTTCAATGTCCTGTTGAAGTTTTAGTGAATCAACTTCTTGCTCTATCTCTTTCAAACATTCAGAAGATTCCTCAGGCTCATCAATGCTTGACCCCAGATGACATTTTGTAATGATACCACAACTATCCAACATAATGTTGTCATCATCTGCTTGGATAGTCTCATCAAATGATGATGTGGAGGTGCCTACAGTGGAGTCGTCCTGACTGTATGTTCTCTCCTTCACCAGTGCTGGTTTTGATTTCTTCTGTGTGAGCTCATCAGCAATCACGTCATCAGAGTTATTACTTCCATCTACAATATCCTCTTTTGATTTTGCACTTCCGAACCTCTTTGATAGACTTACATTTTGTAAACTAAACTTTGGTACATTAAAGTTAAGTTTGATTCCTGAATTAAGACTTTTCCTGACATTTGCGAAGTTAGGTAAGATATTGTGACGTAGTCGGCCGGGGCTGGTCGATGGAGAAGTGTTGCCACTTGTACCAGGTGAGTTTGGACTAAGGCCCTGTCGTTGGATGTCAGGAGACCTATGGCCCTTTCTCTGGAAGTCAGGTGACACTAAGCCCTTGTGTTTGTAGGTAAGGTCTGGAGAGGAAATATCGCGAGGAATATGGATGCCTGTCAAGGCATTCTCTTGTTGTTGTTTATGAATATCCTGGACTTCAGGATGGGGTTTAGTCTTCTTCCTGGAACAAATACAGGCCAAATATAAGAAAATATACAAATGTGTACTTTAACCATCATTCTTTAACCTTTACCGAGTTTTCAGCTTCTCTGTATTGACAAGACTTGTCAATGCCAAGAGAGGAAAACTTGGTGAGAACAACCAGGAATACCCTCGTCAGCAAGGACAGTATTTTATTGTAAATGTAGTCAATATGCTTCTCCTCACTCAGGAAGTCATCATTTAGAGGAAAACTTAGCATCCCACAACTGACAATGGAAACTGCCACACCATTAGCATAACTTAATTTACACTGCCCTAAGGCCAGCTATGAGATATGTACATAAATGTACAAATGTATGTAATTAGTACAGGTTTAATACACTGATATATAGTTTATATCACAAATATTTATACCGGTCAAGTTTCTGTCTGTCAACAGCTTCCAGATCCAGAGAAAATATCTGTCTGGCTGCAGCGAAAGCCTGGTGGATAGCCTTCAGGGATTCTGGAAGCAAACCGAGACAGTTAATAGAGCAACTCCATTATATGTACTGGATGTAACTGTCAGATGTTAAGGATATAACAAGTGATATACACCTACATGTAGGTCTCAGGAACTTACAGTGTAAAGACAGTAAAACAAGATAAAAACATGTACAAAGTAAATCAATATTTAGTACAATTCTTATTATGATTACAACAGACAATTAATCTTTTGGATTACCTCACACTAGTTAGACTGGACCTTGTCTCCACAATATCAAAATCATCAATAAAATTTAAACTTTCTTGAAAAATTTAGTTTTCTTTTCAAAAGCTTAGGGGCTGGTGCCGTGTCTATACATACCATAGTTATAGTAAAACTTAGGGGCTGGTGGACTGTGTCTATACATAACATAGTTATAGTAAACCTTAGGGTCTGGTGCCGTGTCTATACATACCATAGTTATAGTAAAACTTAGGGGCTGGTGTACTGTGTCTGAATATGCCATAGTTATAGTAAAACTTAGGGGCTGGTGTACTGTGTCTGAATATACCATAGTTATAGTAAAACTTAGGGGCTGGTGGACTGTGTCTATACATACCATAGTTATAACTTAGGGTCTGGTGGACTGTGTCTATACATACCATAGTTATAGTAAAACTTAGGGGCTGGTGGACTGTGTCTATACATACCATAGTTATAGTAAAACTTAGGGGCTGGTGGACTGTGTCTATACATACCATAGTTATAGTAAAACTTAGGGGCTGGTGGACTGTGTCTATACATACCATAGTTATAGCAAACCTTAGGGGCTGGTGGACTGTGTCTATACATACCATAGTTATAGCAAACCTTAGGGGTTGGTGGACTGTGTCTATACATAAAATAGTTATAGTAAAACTTACTTCTGCAGCAGTGGTCTGGTGGACTGTGTCTATACATACCATAGTTATAGTAAAACTTAGGGGCTGGTGGACTGTCTATACATACCATAGTTATAGTAAAACTTAGGGGCTGGTGGACTGTGTCAATATACTGTTTACATACCTATCAATTGGGGGCTGGTGGACTGTGTCATTTACTAGTAACTACCAATTTTAAAATCTCCTTTTATTTTTAGGTGGACTGTGTCTATACATACCATAGTTATAGTAAATTTAGGGGTGGTGGACTGTGTCTATACATACCATAGTTATAGTAAAACTTAGGGGCTGGTGGACTATACATACCATAGTGTCTATACATACCATAGTTATAGTAAAACTTAGGGGCTGGTGGACTGTGTCTATACATACCATAGTTATAGTAAAACTTAGGGGCTGGTGGACTGTGTCTATACATACCATAGTTACAGCATAACTTAGGGGCTGGTGGACTGTGTCTATACATACCATAGTTATAGTAAAACTTAGGGGCTGGTGGACTGTGTCTATACATACCATAGTTATAGTAAAACTTAGGGGCTGGTGGACTGTGTCTATACATACCATAGTTATACATACCATAGTTATAGTAAAACTTAGGGGCTGGTGGACTGTGTCTATACATACCATAGTTATAGTAACACTTAGGGGCTGGTGGACTGTGTCTATACATACCATAGTTATAGTAAAACTTAGGGGCTGGTGGACTGTGTCTATACATACCATAGTTATAGTAAAACTTAGGGGCTGGTGGACTGTGTCTATACATACCATAGTTATAGTAAAACTTAGGGGCTGGTGGACTGTGTCTATATATACCATAGTTATAGTAAAACTTAGGGGCTGGTGGACTGTGTCTATACATACCATAGTTATAGTAAAACTTAGGGGCTGGTGGACTGTGTCTATACATACCATAGTTATAGTAAAACTTAGGGGCTGGTGGACTGTGTCTATACATACCATAGTTATAGTAAAACTTAGGGGCTGGTGGACTGTGTCTATACATACCATAGTTATAGTAAAACTTAGGGGCTGGTGGACTGTGTCTATACATACCATAGTTATAGTAAAACTTAGGGGCTGGTGGACTGTGTCTATACATACCATAGTTATAGTAAAACTTAGGGGCTGGTGGACTGTGTCTATACATACCATAGTTATAGTAAAACTTAGGGGCTGGTGGACTGTGTCTATACATACCATAGTTATAGTAAAACTTAGGGGCTGGTGGACTGTGTCTATACATACCATAGTTATAGTAAAACTTAGGGGCTAAACATACCATAGTTAGGGGGCTGGTGGACTGTGTCTATACATACCATAGTTATAGTAAAACTTAGGGGCTGGTGGACTGTGTCTATACATACCATAGTTATAGTAAAACTTAGGGGCTGGTGGACTGTGTCTATACATACCATAGTTATAGTAAAACTTAGGGGCTGGTGGACTGTGTCTATACATACCATAGTTATAGTAAAACTTAGGGGCTGGTGGACTGTGTCTATACATACCATAGTTATAGTAAAACTTAGGGGCTGGTGGACTGTGTCTATACATACCATAGTTATAGTAAAACTTAGGGGCTGGTGGACTGTGTCTATACATACCATAGTTATAGTAAAACTTAGGGGCTGGTGGACTGTGTCTATACATACCATAGTTATAGTAAAACTTAGGGGCTGGTGGACTGTGTCTATACATACCATAGTTATAGTAAAACTTAGGGGCTGGTGGACTGTGTCTATACATACCATAGTTATAGTAAAACTTAGGGGCTGGTGGACTGTGTCTATACATACCATAGTTATAGTAAAACTTAGGGGCTGGTGGACTGTGTCTATACATATACCATAGTTATAGTAAAACTTAGGGGCTGGTGGACTGTGTCTATACATACCATAGTTATAGTAAAACTTAGGGGCTGGTGGACTGTGTCTATACATACCATAGTTATAGTAAAACTTAGGGGCTGGTGTACTGTGTCTATACATACCATAGTTATAGTAAAACTTAGGGGCTGGTGGACTGTGTCTATACATACCATAGTTATAGTAAAACTTAGGGGCTGGTGGACTGTGTCTATACATACCATAGTTATAGTAAAACTTAGGGGCTGGTGGACTGTGTCTATACATACCATAGTTATAGTAAAACTTAGGGGCTGGTGGACTGTGTCTATACATACCATAGTTATAGTAAAACTTAGGGGCTGGTGGACTGTGTCTATACATACCATAGTTATAGTAAAACTTAGGGGCTGGTGGACTGTGTCTATACATACCATAGTTATAGTAAAACTTAGGGGCTGGTGGACTGTGTGTATACATACCATAGTTATAGTAAAACTTAGGGGCTGGTGGACTGTGTCTATACATACCATAGTTATAGTAAAACTTAGGGGCTGGTGGACTGTGTGTATACATACCATAGTTATAGTAAAACTTAGGGGCTGGTGGACTGTGTCTATACATACCATAGTTATAGTAAAACTTAGGGGCTGGTGGACTGTGTCTAAAAAAAACAAAGTTATAACTTTGGGTATGGTGGACTGTGTCTATACATACCATAGTTATAGTAAAAAAACTTAGGGGCTGGTGGACTGTGTCTATACATACCATAGTTATAGTAAAACTTAGGGGCTGGTGGACTGTGTCTATACATACCATAGTTATAGTAAAACTTAGGGGCTGGTGGACTGTGTCTATACATACCATAGTTATAGTAAAACTTAGGGGCTGGTGGACTGTGTCTATACATACCATAGTTATAGTAAAACTTAGGGGCTGGTGGACTGTGTCTATACATACCATAGTTATAGTAAAACTTAGGGGCTGGTGGACTGTGTGTATACATACCATAGTTATAGTAAAACTTAGGGGCTGGTGGACTGTGTCTATACATACCATAGTTATAGTAAAACTTAGGGGCTGGTGGACTGTGTGTATACATATAGTTATACCTGGTGGATAGTTATAGTAAAACTTAGGGGCTGGTGGACTGTGTGTATACATACCATAGTTATAGTAAAACTTAGGGGCTGGTGGACTGTGTCTATACATACCATAGTTATAGTAAAACTTAGGGGCTGGTGGACTGTGTCTATACATACCATAGTTATAGTAAAACTTAGGGACTGGTGGACTGTGTCTATACATACCATAGTTATAGTAAAAACTTAGGGGCTGGTGGACTGTGTCTATACATACCATAGTTATAGTAAAACTTAGGGGCTGGTGGACTGTGTCTATACATACCATAGTTATAGTAAAACTTAGGGGCTGGTGGACTGTGTCTATACATACCATAGTTATAGTAAAACTTAGGGGCTGGTGGACTGTGTCTATACATACCATAGTTATAGTAAAACTTAGGGGCTGGTGGACTGTGTCTATACATACCATAGTTATAGTAAAACTTAGGGGCTGGTGGTGTGTCTATACATGTGTAAAACTTAGGGGCTGGTGGACTGTGTCTATACATACCATAGTTATAGTAACACTTAGGGGCTGGTGGACTGTGTCTATACATACCATAGTTATAGTAAAACTTAGGGGCTGGTGGACTGTGTCTATACATACCATAGTTATAGTAAAACTTAGGGGCTGGTGGACTGTGTGTATACATACCATAGTTATAGTAAAACTTAGGGGCTGGTGGACTGTGTCTATACATACCATAGTTATAGTAAAACTTAGGGGCTGGTGGACTGTGTCTATACATACCATAGTTATAGTAAAACTTATGGGCTGGTGGACTGTGTCTATACATACCATAGTTATAGTACAACTTAGGGTCTGGTAGACTGTGTCTATATATACCATAGTTATAGTAAAACTTAGGGGCTGGTGGACTGTGTCTATACATACCATAGTTATAGTAAAACTTAGGGGCTGGTGGACTGTGTCTATACATACCATAGTTATAGTAAAACTTAGGGGCTGGTGGACTGTGTCTATACATACCATAGTTATAGTAAAACTAACTGTGTCTATACATACCATAGTTATAGTAAAACTTAGGGGCTGGTGGACTGTGTCTATACATACCATAGTTATAGTTAGGGGCTGGTGGATGTGTCTACATACCATAGTTATAGTAAAACTTAGGGGCTGGTGGACTGTGTGTATACATACCATAGTTATAGTAAAACTTAGGGGCTGGTGGACTGTGTCTATACATACCATAGTTATAGTAAAACTTAGGGGCTGGTGGACTGTGTCTATATATACCATAGTTATAGTAAAACTTAGGGGCTGGTGGACTGTGTCTATACATACCATAGTTATAGTAAAACTTAGGGGCTGGTGGACTGTGTCTATACATACCATAGTTATAGTAAAACTTAGGGGCTGGTGGACTGTGTGTATACATACCATAGTTATAGTAAAACTTAGGGGCTGGTGGACTGTGTCTATACATACCATAGTTATAGTAAAACTTAGGGGCTGGTGGACTGTGTCTATACATACCATAGTTATAGTAAAACTTAGGGGCTGGTGTACTGTGTCTGAATATGCCATAGTTATAGTAAAACTTAGGGGCTGGTGGACTGTGTCTATACATACCATAGTTATAGTAAAACTTAGGGGCTGGTGGACTGTGTCTATACATACCATAGTTATAGTAAAACTTAGGGGCTGGTGGACTGTGTGTATACATACCATAGTTATAGTAAAACTTAGGGGCTGGTGGACTGTGTCTATACATACCATAGTTATAGTAAAACTTAGGGGCTGGTGGACTGTGTGTATACATACCATAGTTATAGTAAAACTTAGGGGCTGGTGGACTGTGTGTATACATACCATAGTTATAGTAAAACTTAGGGGCTGGTGGACTGTGTCTATACATACCATAGTTATAGTAAAACTTAGGGGCTGGTGGACTGTGTCTATACATACCATAGTTATAGTAAAACTTAGGGGCTGGTGGACTGTGTCTATACATACCATAGTTATAGTAAAACTTAGGGGCTGGTGGACTGTGTGTATACATACCATAGTTATAGTAAAACTTAGGGGCTGGTGGACTGTGTGTATACATACCATAGTTATAGTAAAACTTAGGGGCTGGTGGACTGTGTCTATATATACCACAGTTATAGAAAAACTTAGGGTCTGGTAGACTGTGTCTATACATACCATAGTTATAGTAAAACTTAGGGGCTGGTGGACTGTGTGTATACATACCATAGTTATAGTAAAACTTAGGGGCTGGTGGACTGTGTCTATACATAACATAGTTATAGTAAAACTTAGGGTCTGGTGGACTGTGTGTATACATACCATAGTTATAGTAAAACTTAGGGGCTGGTGGACTGTGTCTATACATACCATAGTTATAGTAAAACTTAGGGGCTGGTGGACTGTGTGTATACATACCATAGTTATAGTAAAACTTAGGGGCTGGTGGACTGTGTCTATATATACCATAGTTATAGTAAAACATAGGGACTGTGGACTGTGTCTATACATACCATAGTTATAGTAAAACTTAGGGGCTGGTGGACTGTGTCTATACATACCATAGTTATAGTAAAACTTAGGGGCTGGTGGACTGTGTCTATACATACAATAGTTATAGTAAAACTTAGGGGCTGGTGGACTGTGTGTATACATACCATAGTTATAGTAAAACTTAGGGGCTGGTGGACTGTGTGTATACATACCATAGTTATAGTATAACTTAGGGGCTGGTGGACTGTGTCTATACATACCATAGTTATAGTAAAAATGAATATTTTTAGGGGTTTAATTTGATATTATATTAAAAAATGGAATAATATCCCTGAAAATACTTGTCTCAAAAAAGAAAAGAAAAAAATTAAAGAAGAATTGTCCATTTCATCACCTCTGCAAAATGTACATGCCTATAGCACCAAATGTTTGGTATAAGTGTAAAGATTAAAACAATATAAAATAACCACCTTTAATTACAATAATTGCTGCAATACCCAAAGGCGTCAACTCAGATAGGTTGGCTTATTACAGGGCAATGAAATAGCTGGCTTAATACCATCTATAGATTTATTGATTGATAAAAATCATATAAATCATTTCTACACAAACCTCGAGATTCCTCCTGGTTGCGGACAGCAATAACCATATTGTTAAAGAGACGTGTTCGGGGCGTTCGGAAAGTGTGAAAAAACCCATCCTCTGCAAAGTTGGTGTAGTGCAATCTCATACACACGAATTTTGACTTGAATAAAGAGGGCTCTAAACCTACAGAACAACAAGTTAAACATCCTTATAATTACAGCAACACAACAGCCTTATCTGTTTGATATCAGTATCAAACACCAGCTTTAAAATAACAGGTATGTTTAAAACAAAAGGTTGTTAATGGGTCAAAGATTGGAATGTTATAAAAGTTATTTCCAGGAACAACTTACCGAGGTAGTTACCTGAAGGTTCTAGAAATATTGATCAAGAATGATGAAGTTCATCAAAACACTCCTAGAAGGCCTTGCTTAACATTAAAATTATTTGAATTAATATAATAGCTTCAATGCACTGAAAACTTACCAGACTTTTGTCGTTTTATGGTGAAAGTTTCCAAGAATAATGAATTTGGAGAAGTATTAAACAAAAGGACAAATGGCCATTGAAATAAGTCAGCAAAGGATGAGAATAATGAAAATGGACAAATATCATAAATAGGTTTACCTATTTCTATGTTTTCTATATCCTCTAGAAATATTCTCTGGTATTGAACGAGCTGTTCCTCTTCATCATCATACCTGTAATACAGAAATCAAAAGACTCAGTGGTGACACTGCTGCATAGGTTATTCAAGTGGCAGGGCTTCCCACACAGGTAAATTTCATAATGGTCCTACTACGCATGTTAAAGCATCTGTAAGGTCTTTGTTACATACGTAAAAATATTTGGTCTTACTACACAGGTAAAATATCTGGTATCACTATGCAGTAAAAAATATCTGGTCCTGCTTCACAATCAATGGATCTGGCCCCAATACACAGGTAAATATCTGGTCCTACTACAAGGGCAAGGGTATTAGGCATCACTTTGCAGTAAACATATTTGTTCCTACTACAAAATCAACACAGCTGGTCTCACTACACAGGTAAAGTATCTGGTCCTTTTACACAGATAAAATTATCTGGTATCACTATGCAAGTAAATGTATCTAGCCTACTATACAGTCGATGGCACTGGTCTTACTACACAGGTAAAACTATTGTGTCCAACTTTACAGGGGTAAAAAAAATTGATCTTACTATAAAGCTTATTTGGTTTCACTACACAAGTAAAAGTATCTGGCTCCATTACACAGGTCAAAGTGCTGATATTGAAATACAGGGAATTCAAATATCTAGTCTTCCCACATGGGTTAATTCAATACTGATTCTACTACACAGGTAAAAAAACTTACTTAAGTACAACCGTCACAACAACGATCGTCCTACATAATTTATCTGACTAATAGGGAAGATTTTTCAGGTAATGATGTAGACAGGTCACAATAACTAGGTATAATGGCTGGTCCTTCCTGTATACATGTATATGTATGTAGGTATTTCAGTTTATACAGATACCAGCATGTTGTATTACAGCCAATGTGAAACCGTAAGGACAAGCACAACTCAGCAATTGGAAAATTAGGTTATCAAAGGATTCCTAACCTTGACCTTGGAATACAGGTCAGATTATAAGGTGAAAACTTAACAACAAAGTGTTAGTGCGACAAGAGTATGTAAATAGATAAGTATAAACAGATACCCTAATACCAGAACAATTCCACCTGTATAAAAATCTGTATTACCAGGCAACATAGACAGCTCTCTGGGACAGGAGAAGAATCATATCCATGTCTGATCGGTCTGGGTCACCACACCTGTCAATACACAAACTTGTATGTCAGAGTCTTACTATCATCCAGTCCTGTCCTTTACCTGACTTCCTGTTAAATTCATTTGTATCCAAAGTCAAGGCTTTTCAATAAAAATGTTGATAAATTACAGATTATAATATTTTAGTACATTTTTAGTGATAGCAATGTACTAAGTTATGATTGATAATAAAATACTGTTAAATCATTCATTTTTTGAGGGGGATTTAATTTCAATGAACTTGTTGGTGGTGTCAATCCATGTCCACCAAATAATAAACAGATTAAAGTTTCCTTGGATTAATTAAAGTTCTAACAGATTTTATCAGCAAGATTTAACCACAAATTTATCAACAAAAATGTTTATTTCTGGAAAAGCTTGAAATCTGAGCCCCATGAAAATACATGATTTTACAGTATGTATGCATTCTGTTCAAGTATGTTACAATCAGATATCACAACTCATTATCATAATTTATGCATATTTGCCTGTAGAGGTTTGAATTATGTAAAGATGTTGTCCTGTACATATGTGGTATAAAAGATCAACATTGGCTTGGCTAATCATCTCTGTACATTTGTTTTAGATGCAAACGTATCAACCACACAACTTCACACTCAACATTTATCCAATGTTCTACAAATATTTCAGCATATAATTTCCTCAACAACTCATCCCTACTACCTTATTGTCTTACTAGCTTCTAAGCTAACCACATTTTCACTCAACCAACTTCTCACTTAGTGAATTAATCACCTGACCAACTTCTCACTTAGTGAATTAATCACCTGACCAACTTCTCACCTGACCAACTTCTCACTAAAGCAGTATCTCACCTAACCAACTTCTTATCCAACAACCTTCTTACTCAATCAACTTAGCACTGAATAAATTTCTAACTCAACCAACTTCTCACTCAACCAACTTCTCACTTAGTCAATTAATCACCTGACCAACTTCTCACCAAAGCCATTTCTCTCTCAACATCTCACTGCTGAATACTTACACAGGGTCAGCATTGATAAGACTCCAACCTCCAAGACATTGTTCTGGTTCAACAATCAACATCTCTTTACATTCTTCCACCAGGAGTTTGAGATTCTGTTCCTTCTCCATCAGCTCTGCAACATCCTCCTCCTCTTCTGGGCTGCTGTTGCCTAGCAACAGGAACTCCTCCATGGTAACTGGGCGACCCAGAGTCAGATCTATGGAGGCCTGGCGGTAACTATCTTTGAACCGCAGGTAGTACCTAACAATGGATGAAAGGTCAATTCCATGTGGAAGTGATTTTACATCGTAAATGGAAATGTTTTAAGGTTTATGATATAATTATTTGTTACAGAATGATGATATTTTATCTGATTGATTACTATAAAGACTGATTGAGGTAGATTATAATGGTCCAGTGGTTATATTACTGTGTTATAATCACTACAACAGTAGTAATAACTAATTTTTAACTTGTCGTTTTTACTTTAGTATTATATCTCTGTAACACAGACCACAAAATGTCTGATTATTTTCCTTCTATACATGAAAGTATCTGTAAAATAATCAAGATAAAAACATCATTTGCTAGGAACATTTCCTGTTACCTGTTTGCCGAGTTCATTCCATCTTTCATCATCCCAGAAAACTTTCGTTCACCCGTTCTGGTAAAGTCACCCTAAAAAGAAGAGAAAACAGCATGTTTACCAACAAGAATATATAACAAAACAATATATATGCCTATTTTATGTCAGTTTACCACACGATGGAACAATATATACACCTGTCCCATGTCAGTGTACCACCAGGTGGAACAATATCTACACCTGTCCCATGTCAGTGTACCTCATGATGGAACAATATCTACACCTGTCCCATATCAGTGTACCACATGGAGGAACAATATATACACCTGTCCCATGTCAGTGTACCACCAGGTGGAACAATATATACACCTGTCCCATGTCAGTGTACCACCAGGTGGAACAACATATACACCTGTCCCATGTCAGTGTACCACATGGTGGAACAATATATACACCTGTCCCATGTCAGTGTACCACCAGGTGGAACAATATATACACCTGTCCCATGTCAGTGTACCACATGGTGGAACAATATATACACCTGTCCCATGTCAGAGTACCACCAGGTGGAACAATATATACACCTGTCCCATGTCAGTGTACCAAATGGTGGAACAATATCTACACCTGTCCCATATCAGTGTACCAAATGGTGGAACAATATATACACCTGTCCCATGTCAGTGTACCACATGGTGGAACAATATATACACCTGTCCCATGTCAGTGTACCACCAGGTGGAACAATATATACACCTGTCCCATGTCAGAGTACCACATGGTGGAACAATATATACACCTGTCCCATGTCAGAGTACCACATGGTGGAACAATATATACACCTGTCCCATGTCAGTGTACCACATGGTGGAACTATATCTACACCTGTCCCATGTCAGTGTACCACATGGTGGAACTATATCTACACCTGTCCCATGTCAGTGTACCACATGGTGGAACAATATATACACCTGTCCCATGTCAGTGTACCTCATGATGGAACAATATCTACACCTGTCCCATATCAGTGTACCACATGGAGGAACAATATATACACCTGTCCCATGTCAGTGTACCACCAGGTGGAACAATATATACACCTGTCCCATGTCAGTGTACCTCATGGTGGAACTATATCTACACCTGTCCCATGTCAGTGTACCACATGGTGGAACTATATCTACACCTGTCCCATGTCAGTGTACCACATGATGGAACAATATATACACCTGTCCCATGGAACAATATATATATACACCTGTCCCACATGTCAATATATACACCTGTCCCACCCACATGGTATATACACCTGGAACAATATATATACACCTGTCCCATGTCAGTGTACCTCATGTTGGAACAATATCTACACCTGTCCCATTTCAGTGTACCACATGGAACAATATATACACCTGTCCCATGTCAGTGTACCACATGATGGAACAATATCTACACCTGTCCCATGTCAGAGTACCACATGGTGGAACAATATCTACACCTGTCCCGTGTCAGTGTACCACATGGTGGAACTATATCTACACCTGTCCCATGTCAGAGTACTTCAGAATGTCCTTGGCAATTTTTGCATGTATGAAATCTGATGTAAATAAAAAGTCTTGTTTAATTAACTTTATCATATCTTTTTTCCTAATCAATACGGTAAAAATTTTCAGTCAAAAATTTAAAAGTAACATTAAGTGAAAATGTATGTAAATTTTCTATGTGTCGGTTTAGGTATAAATTGAATATCCTACAGGTAAACTTTGTAATGGAGTCATTTTTGTAGATGATTTGAGATCCTGTAGGATATCTGGGTATCCTGTTTACACAACACTAATGTCCTGAAAAGTTTGAAATAGCAATTTATGTACATATTTTATCTGATACGAATGACATCGAAATTGTTTTATGAGGAAAAAAACAAGCCTAAATGACGTCAGTCTACCTAAGAAAGTGACTGGCTACATGTGCTATCAATATGAAAGTCAACCAAAGCAGGACCTTTAATGTGTAGCTATATACAACATTATTGTCCTGTTTTTCTTCACAAGCCCAAGATTTTACAGATTTACATTTCCTCAGAATAAAATTCAGCATTTAATCTTTATTTATATGACATAGTGATACAGGGACATGAAAAATTATATTTGGGACAGCATAAAAAACAAGAGGTCCAAGGGGCCTGCATTGCTCACCAAGCTGATTCAATGATGTAGTCATTTAACAAAGAATTTAAAATATGACAAATAATTCTTGAAATAAGCCCATGATAAAGATTTTAAAGAGTTTACCATTGGGGTTCCTGTATGCTGAGAACCAATACTTATAAAAAATTGGTTCCATTTCATCAAAGATTGCTTGTGACAAAATTTGGGCAAAATCCCATCATTCTACGTATATTTATCATTTAAACAAAAGAAATGATGTTTTACTTTTTGGACTAACACATGTTTTTCTTTACTTTCTTGAACACTTCTGTGACATGAAAGAAGCACATATAGCTAATGAAACCTACCGGTTTTTCATTTCATTGATTTGTAGATCATATTTTACAAAGGCTAATTATTATAACACAATCGTATTTTGGTAAAATTGAGGACATTTTCATTATTTTTGAAAAGCAAGTTTCCTATAGTTTAAGAGACTTTTCAAAACAAGAATGTTCCTTGTATATATAAATTACAACCTTATTGTAGATACCTGATATGTCAAAAGTTCCATTTCAGCAAAAAGAGTTATATCTATATATAGTGTAGGATGTTACAGTAAACATGTCTAAATGATCCTAGTAATAAACCAGAAGATCTGTAGAAGGTTACCATGGTTAAGTCTGTATAAGGTTACCATGGTTAAGTCTGTATAAGGTTACCATGGTTAAGTCTGTATAAGGTTACCATGGTTAAGTCTGTATAAGGTTACCATGGTTAAGTCTGTATAAGGTTACCATGGTTAAGTCTGTATAAGGTTACCATGGTTAAGTCTGTATAAGGTTACCATGGTTAAGTCTGTATAAGGTTACCATGGTTAAGTCTGTATAAGGTTACCATGGTTAAGTCTGTATAAGGTTACCATGGTTAAGTCTGTATAAGGTTACCATGGTTAAGTCTGTATAAGGTTACCATGGTTAAGTCTGTATAAGGTTACCATAGTAAAGTCTGTATAAGGTTACCATAGTAAAGTCTGTATAAGGTTACCATAGTAAAGTCTGTATAAGGTTACCATAGTAAAGTCTGTATAAGGTTACCACAGTAAAGTCTGTATAAGGTTACCATAGTTAAGTCTGTATAAGGTTACCATGGTAAAGTCTGTATAAGGTTACCAAGGTAAAGTCTGTATAAGGTTACCACAGTAAAGTCTGTATAAGGTCACCACAGTAAAGTCTGTATAAGGTCACCAATATATACTTGATTGTTTCATGAATCCTCAGTGGTTACCTTGAGAGCTGCTGTCCCAGCATACTGCCTACTAATGACGTCACCATTGTTGGCCCACAGTTGCTGGAAGGTGAGTTTGCAGCTCTGTGGCAAGTTCTCCTCTGGAGCCAGAATTCCCAGCTTTCTACACTATAAAAACCACATAGAAACCTACTTTCAGCATGATATAACTTTATAATTATATGTACAGAACAAAAATGGAATACCTGACTGATTTTATAAAAATCTGGACACTCAATGTGATTTCTACCTTTATTTCTGTAAAATACAAGACATTCCCCTGACTTGCCTGGGTATTTTTCATGTGACATGAAGTCTGGGATATTGTTACTGAAAGGCACTGACTGAGGAAATACATCAAGTTGGGACTTAGTATTGAACACTTGTGACTCAATTTCTACTTTATATACGCAAACTCAATCACCTAGACTTCAATCGTGACTTATTTATATTTAGATTTTACCTGTGTTTCCATGACGATCCTAGCTATCGCTGTTTGTACAACATTGGTGCGGTCTAGACAATCTACACAGTTTTCACGGAACACTCCACGCTGCTCACAAATCATTCCTTTTTTGTCAACCCTAGACAAACAAACAACCCATTTATCAGAATGATAGTTTTAGATTTTTACAGAATACTTGATCAATGAGAACACATGCCAATATGATCACAGTTGTACTAGTAACTTACTTCAGAAAGCTGAATAGGTTACACCAGTCCAAGTTGTTTCTCACATATAATTAAAAATGAACACATATTTATCCAGCAACTGGCCCTGGATGTCTGGCAATAAGCCCTGGGTGTTTGGTAATAAGTCCTGGATGTCTGGCAATAAGCCCTTGATGTCAAGTAATAAGTCCTGGATGTCTGGCAATAAGCCCTTGATGTCTGATAATAAGCCCTGTATGTTTGACAATAAGCCCTGGTTGTCTGGTAATAAGCCCTTGATGTTCGATAATAAGCCCTGGTTATCTGGTAATAAGCTCTGGATGTCTGATAAAAAGCCCGAGATGTCTGACATTAAGCAATGGATGTATGGTAATAAGCCCTGGATGTTTGTTAATAAGTCCTGGATGTCTGGCAATAAGCCCTGTGATGTCTGACAATAAGCCCTGGATGTCTGGTAATAAGTCCTGGATGTCTGGCAATAAGCCCTTGATGTTCAGTAATAAGCCCTGGTTATCTGGTAATAAGCTCTGGATGTCTGATAATACGCCCGGGATGTCTGACAATAAGCCCTTGATGTCTGGTAATAAGCCCTGGATGTTTGTTAATAAGCCATTGATGTCTGGCAATAAGCCCTTGATGTTCGGTAATAAGCCCTGGTTATCTGGTAATAAGCTCTGGATGTCTGATAATAAGCCCGGGATGTCTGACATTAAGCCCTGGTTGTCTGGCAATAAGCCCTGGTTGTCTGGCAATAAGCCCTGGATGTCTGGTAATAAGCCCAGGATGTCTGGTATTAAGACATACTCACCAACAGTACCTCATCTTCTTCAGGATATCATTAATGCCATCAGTTAGTATAGAAACATTTTCAAATTTCATGCCGCGACTACAACAAAAACAAAATAATATCAAGTATCTTTATAAATTAAGGGGAGGCTGTCTGACCATCAGACATTCTTGGATTATTCAACTTTAGGCAAAATAATGAAACAAAGATAACATAGAGTCCAGCATTCCTCTTTCAATAGAAACACTCACTGTTATCTTGTTAAAAGAAACAAAAGGCCCAATGAAAAGAGGTTATATAGAGGTTTAAAGAAAATTCACTATGACCTTGAACATAGATCAAGGTCATTTCATCCTAGGAACATACCAGTCATATATCATGTCTCCAGGCCTATCAGTTCATGAGAAAAAGTTGTTTAAAGGTTTTAACCAATTTCATCCTCGTGATCTTGTGTATAAGTCATTTCTCTTCACACAAACTTTGACAAATTTTAATTCCAGGAACATACCAGTCTCTACCAGAAGTCGTTTAAATGTTTTAACAAATCTGAGCCATGTGACCTTGAATATAGGTCAATGTCAATTCTTTCCGCAAACTTTCATGGGCTTTATCTTAGGAACGTGCCAGCCAAATATCAAAATTTTTTGTACATTGGTTATCGAAGTTGTTAAGGGAAAAGTTGAGGCAGATGACAGACATTAAAATAACTTAAGGAATGTTAACATATGTTGACGTATTACTCTATGTTATTCAAAAAATATTTGACCATGGCTTTCGAAGGTAACATATTTGCACAAAGCTCAGGTCTTTAAAAAAGTAGTTAAATATTATAGAGTATTTATGTGTATTTTCACTACTGATAATCATGTGACATTCATAAAATAGTACAAATTAAAAGGAAGAGAAGCAACCCAAGAATCCGGGTCTCAGGAGGTGTTCCTTCTCTGTTCTATATATCACTAGGTATCCTAAACACACATCTGTCATCCTCCTGTCAACACACATCTGTCATCCTCCTGTCAACACACATCTGTCATCCTCCTGTCAACACACATCTGTCATCCTCCTGTCACCACACATCTGTCACCCTCCTGTCAACAAACATCTGTCACCCTCCTGTCAACACACATCTGTCAAGGTGATGAACAACAACACACATCTGCCAAGTTGATGAACAACAACACACATCTGTCAGACTGATGAACAACAACACACATCTGTCATCCTCCTGTCAGCACACATCTGTCAAGGTGATGAACAACAACACACATCTGTCAGACTGATGAACAACAAAACACATCTGTCAGACTGATGAACAATATCACAAATCTGTCAGTCTGATGAACAACAACACACATCTGTCAAGGTGATGAACAACAACACACATCTGTCAGACTGATGAACAACAACACACATCTGTCAGGCTGATGAACAACAACACACATCTTTCAGACTGATGAACAACATCACACATCTGTCAGGCTGATGAACAACAACACACATCTTTCAGACTGATGAACAACATCACACATCTGTCAGGCTGATGAACAACAACACACATCTTTCAGACTGATGAACAACATCACACATCTGTCAGGCTGATGAACAACAACACACATCTTTCAGACTGATGAACAACATCACACATCTGTCAGGCTGATGAACAACAACACACATCTTTCAGACTGATGAACAACATCACACATCTGTCAGGCTGATGAACAACAACACACATCTTTCAGACTGATGAACAACAACACACATCTGTCAGGCTGATGAACAACAACACACATCTGTCAGGCTGATGTTAGTTCTGGTAAAATTTCTCCAACCGATGACTGACATCTTGTTTTACTGCGGGCAAGTATTCACCAATTATACTCATGAAAGTTAATCATGAGATACATTCAAACCTTTCTGTAAAGGTCACTCAAAAGAAAAGAGAAAAGTGGCCTTCAAAGGCAGGTGACCTTTATATAGAGGTTACTGTAACTTGTATTGCAATGGGTCCATATACATGTGGCCTTTATTGACAGGTTTGGCTGGACAAGGTAAGTACTTACCAATACTCGTGGAAGTCAAACATCACGTAGGTGATGTCGGGAGAGTTGTAGGTGAGGAGATGTTTGAGGTAGGCATCACTAATGGCTTTCTCTTTACCACAGAGCTCTGCAAGGTTGATGGCCACAATAGATCGGTAGATAGACAGCTGCTCATCAAAGTGTGCTTTAAAGGCCTCGTATGTCTCCTGGTCATCTGTAAGTATTTGCAAAGAAAAATCTTAGTTAGTGGTCAGTTATCTTTAAAATATGGCTTAACAGGTTAGCCTTTATCATAGAACATAATTTGTGGTCTTATTTTAGAATATCAATGGTCAGTGGTCTGTCTTACCATAGAACATGGCAAGTGGTCTGTCTTACCATAGAACATGGCAAGTGGTCTGTCTTACCACAGAACATGGCAAGTGGTCTGTCTTACCACAGAACATGGCAAGTGGTCTGTCTTACCACAAAACATGGCAAGTGGTCTGTCTTACCACAGAACATGGCAAGTGGTCTGTCTTACCACAGAACATGGCAAGTGGTTTGTCTTACCACAGAACATGGCAAGTGGTCTGTCTTACCATAGAACATGGCAAGTGGTATGTCTTACCACAGAACATGGCAAGTGGTATGTCTTACCACAGAACATGGCAAGTGGTCTGTCTTACCACAGAACATGGCAAGTGGTCTGTCTTATCACAGAACATGGCAAGTGATCTGTCTTACCACAGAACATGGCAAGTGGTCTGTCTTACCATAGAACAAGGCAAGTGGTCGGTCTTTCTTTAGAATATGGCAAGTGGTCTGTCTTTCTTTAGAATATGGCAAGTGGTCTGTCTTACCATAGAACATGGCAAGTGGTCTGTCTTACCACAGAACATGGCAAGTGGTCTGCCTTTCTTTAGAATATGGCAAGTGGTCTGTCTTACTGAAGAATATGGCTAGTGGTCAGTCTTACTGTTAAGCATTGCCAGTGGCCAGTCTTTAACAGTGTAGAACATATGACTGGCAGTGAGTCTTAATGAAGAACAGTAACAAGTTGCTAAAGTCCCCTGTGGTAGTGATACACTAAAGGGGAGTCAATAATCTTGTTACAGTCCCCTGTGGTAGTGATACACTAAAGGGGAGTCAATGACCTTGCTACAGTCCCCTGTGGTAGTGATACACTAAAGGGGAGTCAATGACCTTGCTACAGTCCCCTGTGGTAGTGATACACTAAAGGGGAGGTAATGACCTTGCTACAGTCTCCTGTGGTAGTGATACACTAAAGGGGAGTCAATGACCTTGCTACAGTCTCCTGTGGTAGTGATACACTAAAGGGGAGGTAATGACCTTGCTACAGTCTCCTGTGGTAGTGATACACTAAAGGGGAGTCAATGACCTTGCTACAGTCCCCTGTGGTAGTAATACACTAAAGGGGAGGTAATGACCTTGCTTCAGTCCCCTGTGGTAGTGATACACTAAAGGGGAGTCAATAATCTTGTTACAGTCCCCTGTGGTAGTGATACACTAAAGGGGAGTCCATGACCTTGCTACAGTCCCCTGTGGTAGTGATACACTAAAGGGGAGTCCATGACCTTGCTACAGTCCCCTGTGGTAGTGATACACTTAAGGGGAGGTAATGACCTTGCTACAGTCTCCTGTGGTAGTGATACACTAAAGGGGAGTCAATGACCTTGTTACAGTCCCCTGTGGTAGTGACACACTAAAGGGATGTAATGACTTTGAAATGCCATAGAATGTCTTGTCAAAGTTACAAAAAATTTCTCTTCAGGCCAGGTGAGTTAAAGATTAAACACAGATGCAAGGAAATTTACTTCTTCATAGAGACAGCCATAACCTGATAATCAAAGCCTACAAATAATAACAATACACAGAGAAGTAAGTGCACTTAATGCTACTACCAGAAAAAAAGGCGATGAAAGTCGTTAATGCTGCAATTGGTAATTAAGATATACAATGATATATATGACTTATTTTCTTCCTTGTAAAACATACCTACAGGTATAATATGATTCACCATGTTAATGAGGTTTCAGGCTGAAAGATCACTGCAGGGCTCTCTCATTATCTATCTTAAATATGCAAAATTTATACTCATGCATTTTACAGGCTAGAGCAGTAACAGGTGACAGAACAAGCAATGCCTAATCTATCACAGGGAAAATTACTGGTGAGGTTTAACATAATTGATAGTTGATTGATTCATTTACAAGGAAATTTAAGTATGTGAGGAGGTGCATGTTGGTTACATGTTGTTTATCTTATCTAAAAGAAATTTAAACTTAGAGCACTAAAATGACTTAAAGTGAGAAAGTTTTGAAATGGAGCTGTAAATCTGATTTGAGGGGCCTTGACCATGGAGAATGACCTATGTAATGTAACCCCCCCCCCTGTATAAAAAGTACCCCCTATCCAATGACCTCAATTTCATTTCAATGAAATAATCACAAAACAACTGTTAAGCCTTAACGTGAATGTCTGTCTACCCATCCCAACCCTCCTAATCCCCAACCCCAGGACAGAGAAATAGCCAAGAATATTTTTTCAACTATCTTCATCTCTCACACTCCAATACCAAACAGCCCTTTCCTCCAATCTAAAGTATATTCCCCACCCCCTGGATACCTTTTATACACCTGTTTAAAATGTAACCCCCACAACCTCCCTAACAAAAGTTTTCTGAATGAGATGAAAAAAACTGAAAACAAGAGGCCCAAAGGTGAATTCAAAGAATGACAAATATACATGGTTCATCTGAACTAGTGACACTGTGTGTATTCATATGAATTCAGTTTAAAAGTGCCATGTTTGTACATGTATAGCAGAGATACAGCATACCTTAGGAATTAAACAATCAACTGTAAATCAGCTTACAGAAATGTGTTTCATTGGTTTTTATAATTACTAATAAGGATTATTGTTATAGCCCCATTGTCTGTGTTACTTATAGTATGGATGAATGTGAGGTATGTTCCTGTTAAACAGCCATCATTGCAAAAACAACAGGTGTCTTATCTCTGTAAGTATAAGGAACTACTTTGTAACACAAGCATATTGTGAAAGGATACCGCCAATACAACCCCAATTTAAAATGTGCGTTGGAAAGATCAAAACTTAACATAATGTTTTGTTACAGTACAAGGATGCATCTGCAGAAAAAAGGTTAAGGAATATCAACACCATATATGGAAGATATCCCTGATTGATGCCTTAACTTACATCTGTATTATAAGTATCTGGATAAGTACAAGCTTTTAATATTAGTACTTACACATTTAACATGTAAACTTTCAGGAAATCAATGGCATGCATGCATCGAGCATTACATGTTATGATGACACTGCTTACCTAGAAGTGAACTTTGTAACAAGAATGAGGTTACCCAGATAAGGTGATTTTAAGCATCATTATAATTGTTCTGTCATGCATTTCCTTTATGAGTACAGTTAAAGCACATTCATCAAATTTGCACTTTTAACTATGATAATCAATCATTTTAAACAGACATGACTTTAGTTAGAATTAAATGGTTTTTCAAAGCATTCCCCTCCCCTCAATATCTATATATATATATTGATGTATCAGGAATTAATGAGGATCACAAAGAGCCCACTTTATACGTACAGTCACTTCAGGACACTTTGCAAGGAGTTCACCGATTAGCTTGTGAGAACATGTGTGTGGTACCGGACCAGCAGAAATGCTGTTAATGATGAACACCTGAACCAAAAGTATTAGAAGTTGGGGATGTTGTGCTCAAAGTGGATTCAGCGACCAAGATGGGACAGAGCTCAAAGCTTAAACCACCAGAGATGGGTCCATGCCAGATCATTGCCGTGAAATCATCAGTATTATATTTGATAGCTGACAAAAAAACTAAGGCAATAGTCCAACACAACTGCCTTAAGTCTTTCGAAGATCACAGGTTTCCACTATGGTTAAAGATATGCCAAAACCAATTACTTGGTCAAGCTAGTGAGACTGACTTGGTAGATACTTCGGATTGCAAGTGTTTGCAGATCTTCCAACTGGCCACATGCATCAAAATCTTGGACAGCAACTAATGTTGGCTCCAGTGACAGGCGGAGACGGATGTGTCAGTGATTGATTGACTACAAGTGCTGAGTTGTGTTACTTCATAACATTTTACAAAGTTTTAACTGAATCTATCAATCCTTATTGTAGTTATCATTCGGAAACCAAAATTTAACAAAAAATTTCTATTTTTTTTCAACAGTGACCTCACAGCTGACCTTTAGACCCCAAACTCATTTCCAATATCTATTACCTCATAAGCTTATATGAATGAAGTTTCAACCAAATCCATCAATCTTTTCTGAAGTTATCATCTGGAATCCAAAATCTGATGAAAAAAATTAATTTCTAGCACAAGATGGCTGTATTACAGTCCTATGTACCACACACTAAGGAATGACTGAGGAAAATTCAAACTGATCACAAGAAATGTCAAAATCTATACAGAAAGGTAAAATAGCCCCTTGATTGAATAAATTCAAAAGAATGTCAGGTATATTTCTGGATTAGAAAGATAAATTGTATTTTTATTAACTAGTACCACTTTATGTTTGAACCACTTCTAACTCTTGTATAAATATGTCCAGGCCTATCTCTACCACCACTTCAGTATTTGTGACCTCTAGATGACCTCAGTCTCACCTTTATAATCAGCATCATACAAGATATCAGTTTGGTCCGTGATGGACTTTACCTGATGATTGTCTGTCATTATTCTACTAGACACTGTTGATTTATGTTTCTTCTCACCTTGTTATAAATAGAGTCTTCACTGATTACTGAACCTCAATTTAGCTGTTTATGACTCATGTAAGACGTCTTTATTCACTGTGTCAAAATTTTCCATGCCTGCAAAATATTGCTGATTTCGTACTTTTTCCATAAAAGATTTCAAGAAACCTATTACTTATAAATACCTTCTTGGTCTAAAATTAAAGTTTTTTCATGAAGATGTACATTCACTGATATAAGTCCTTTACTTGGTGCCATGACATGACTGATATCAAGATCTCTCTCTTTAGGTAACAATACACTGTTGAAAGAAAAAAAGATTAATAAACCATAGTACAGCTCCATACTACCGCCTGTCATTCAGCTGTCCAGGTGGTGTGTATATCCTTATCATTTATTTCCTGCTCGAAAAGTTCCATGGACATCACAGCTAGCTCATGATCGTATCTAGATTGGAAAAGTAAAAACCTGAATTCAAAACTACTGATCTGTATGCAAACTCCAGACCATTATTGCTAGCACTGCCTGGTTGAAACGGCACTTCAAGTGGCACAGAATTACTTGTACTTGTATGCCAACCCTGTTTAATACAGAACTAATAATATTCAGTCAAGTTTTAGTCTCAGTCAACATTATCTACATCCGCATTCTCTAATTGAATGAGCTGAAAGTTTTGCTGGCTAATTACTAGATAATCAATCAGACATGTGTGGTACATTCACTGACAGAGACCTGTGTGGTAGATTCACTGACGGAGACCTGTGTGGTAGATTCACTGACAGAGACCTGTGTGGTAGATTCACTGACAGAAACCTGTGTGGTGGAGTCATTGACAGAGACCTGTGTGGTAGATTCACTGACAGAGACCTGTGTGGTAGATTCACTGACAGAGACCTGTGTGGTAGATTCACTGACAGAGACCTGTGTGGTAGATTCACTGACGGAGACCTGTGTGGTAGATTCACTGACGGAGACCTGTGTGGTAGATTCACTGACGGAGACCTGTGTGGTAGATTCACTGACGGAGACCTGTGTGGTAGATTCACTGACAGAGACCTTTGTGGTAGATTCACTGACAGAGACCTGTGTGGTAGATTCACTGACAGAGACCTGTGTGGTAGATTCACTGTGGTAGATTCACTGAGAGACCTGTGTGGTAGATTCACTGACAGAGACCTGTGTGGTAGATTCACTGACAGAGACCTGTGTGGTAGATTCACTGACAGAGACCTGTGTGGTAGATTCACTGACAGAGACCTGTGTGGTAGATTCACTGACAGAGACCTTTGTGGTAGATTCACTGACAGAGACCTGTGTGGTAGATTCACTGACAGAGACCTTTGTGGTAGATTCACTTACAGAGACCTGTGTGGTAGATTCACTTACAGAGACCTGTGTGGTAGATTCACTGACAGAGACCTGTGTGGTAGATTCACTGACAGAGACCTTTGTGGTAGATTCACTTACAGAGACCTGTGTGGTAGATTCACTGACAGAGACCTGTGTGGTAGATTCACTGACAGAGACCTGTGTGGTAGATTCACTGACAGAGACCTGTGTGGTAGATTCACTGACAGAGACCTGTGTGGTAGATTCACTGACAGAAACCTGTGTGGTAGATTCACTGACAGAAACCTGTGTGGTAGATTCACTGACAGAGACCTGTGTGGTAGATTCATTGACAGAGACTTGTGTGGTATACTCACTAACACAGAGACCTGTTGTACCAACTCACTTATATAGATCTGTACAATAGACTTTGAGAGTATCATGAACATGGATTTAAAATATACACATTCACTGATACAAGTGTTAGGTCAGAACGTCCGTACATAGGGTAATATATATATCAATACATACATATATATGTTCCAAGGACACTGGAAACTCACATTTTCTGTCAGTTAGTCATCTATATATTTATTTATATATGTACAACTTTTTTCCTCTGGAAACTTCCCTACGTAATTCACAAAAGCAGGTTTGACCAGCCTTGTAAAATGCCTGGAGGCTATAATTGTCTAGCCTAAGATTGCTAAGGCAGTGTTGTAATATTACCTAACATTGCCTGATATAAGCTTAATTCTATTATAAATTAAATGTTTGATACTAACTTAAGTATTCATTTATCTCCACTTCTAAACATCCTGTTAATTGTGTTGGTAACAATGGAGAAACCTACCATCTCAGATCAGGTGATATTAATTATTCTACAAATTAATGAATTCTAAGATATTTTAAATAAGTCGTGCCAACAAGTATACTCCTGTCTGACAAATGAGGGCACCTTCAGGCTGGCATATCTGTAGGACGAGCTTGTTCTCTCAAAGTCAAACTTCTGGATTACTGATTAATACTATTAAGAAGTAATAACAGGTGCTCTAACAATTACATCAATCGAAATCCCGTGATTAAACCTGCAGGTGTAATCTCTTTATTTACCAAAGGCCACTTTTTTTGTGTGTGTTTTTTTCAATTTTGGAATTCAGTCTGGAAAACAACAAATATTTTCCTTTTACACAAAATAAAATTTAAAAAAGTACAGAAGAATGTATATATTAAAACATATTTTGTCTGAAACTATTGAATCAAGTACCAGCATCTTGTCCCTGGAGTAACATTTTAATTAAAGGAGATCCTGGAAGGATCCTGACACCTAACGTTGTGTGGTATATGTTTGTTCTTTGAAGTTGAATATTCTCCCTTCTTTTCTCTTCTTTCTTTTTACTTGTCCTTATCTATATGAAATTGAGATTGCTTCTCAAGAAATAACAATAATAATCTTTAACCTTCCAATCCAAGTTACCTGTCAACATTTTGTTTTCCTGATCAGTTAAAAAATGGATGCACAACTATATAAGACTGGTAGACTCACGGAACATACCAATAAAATTTGAGAAGGATCTATCCAGTACTTCTGTCAGGAAACAACAATGATTAAAATTCTCATTCAAAATCCAAGATGGCCATCGGTTGGACATTTCATTTATTGGTCCCAAAATTGATAATGTTATACAGAACCCAAGGGGGCAAAACCATAACATATGAAAAAAGATTCATTGTGTAATTTTCAAGAAATAGCAAATACAAGAATTATCTAAGAACGGACATTAGATAAAATGCATTTTGAAAAGCCCATTGTCTAATGATAAATGGAAGATTTTTTTTTTCAGTTTTCACACCCAGCTCAGCATGAATAAGTTTTATCCATTTTGTACAGTGCACCAAAATAGGGACAACACACGATCCTTCTTACCAGTCCAATATGTATCCAAACTGTAAACTAAACAGGACTAAACCATACAATGAACAAACGTCAGTTAACAGGACTAAACCATACAATGGACAAAAGTCAGTAAACAGGACTAAACCATACACTGGACAAAAGTCAGTAAACTAAACAGGACTAAACCATACATTGAACAAAGGTCAGTAAACAGGACTAAATCATACAATGAACAAAAGTCAGTAAACAGGACTAAACCATACAATGGACAAAAGTCAGTTAACAGGACTAAACCATACAATGGACAGTCAGTAAACTAAACAGGACTAAACCATACAATGAACAAAAGTCAGTAAACAGGACTAAACCATACAATGGACAGTCAGTAAACTAAACAGGACTAAACCATACATTGAACAAAAGTCAGTAAACAGGACTAAACCATACAATGAACAAAAGTCAGTAAACAGGACTAAACCATACACTGGACAGTCAGTAAACAGGACTAAACCATACACTGGACAGTCAGTAAACAGGACTAAACCATACACTGGACAGTCAGTAAACAGGACTAAACCATACACTGGACAGTCAGTAAACAGGACTAAACCATACACTGGACAAAGGTCAGTAAACAGGACTAAACCATACAATGGACAAAAGTCAGTAAACAGGACTAAACCATACACTGGACAAAAGTCAGTAAACTAAACAGGACTAAACCATACACTGGACAAAAGTCAGTTAACAGGACTAAACCATACACTGGACAAAGGTCAGTAAACAGGACTAAATCATACAATGAACAAAAGTCAGTAAACAGGACTAAACCATACAATGGACAAAAGTCAGTTAACAGGACTAAACCATACACTGGACAAAAGTCAGTAAACAGGACTAAACCATACAATGAACAAAAGTCAGTTAACTAAACAGGACTAAACCATACAATGGACAAAAGTCAGTTAACAGGACTAAACCATACACTGGACAAAAGTCAGTAAACAGGACTAAACCATACAATGGACAAAACCATAACAGGACTAAACCATACACTGGACAAAAGTCAGTAAACAGGACTAAACCATACACTGGACAAAAGTCAGTTAACTAAACAGGACTAAACCATACCATGGACAAAAGTCAGTTAACTAAACAGGACTAAACCACACAATGGACAAAAGTCAGTTAACTTAAAATGATGAAATTACTGAGAATCAATTAATTGTTTACCAATTTGTTAAATTGATAAAAATGAAGACTTTGTAGGTGACATCAATATATATATCTCAGAAACGGGTAACATGACAAGAGCAACTCTGTCGGATTATAGAAACCCAGAACAGGACAACAGGTAAGCCCCCCACAGACTGACTGCGTGCTCACATAGGTAGCAAGGCATTTTCACTCACTCAACAGCTGACTGCCAAAATATGCTGGAGATAACTTTTGTGTGCACTTTCCTTCTCAGCCTGATCACCTGGACAGGTAAGTTGACTTTTTACAGAAAATTCAAATATTTCTTTATTTTCTTTTATTTATTTTTTGTATTGTTTAATAGTGTACATGTTTTTTTTGTATAGACATCAATGATATTTGTCTGTGTGCCCTTGGTTTTGTGGACCTGTCATTGTAAAAGGACATTCAATTTATTGTATTAATAGGTAACATAAAATAAAAATGATTTATTCTTGTACATGTTAAATTTGTGTGGATAATTTTTCATCAAATATCATAATTCTGTCTAACAGAAAAAAAAAGAAACAAAAAATTTTACATAAAATTCTAAAATACTGTATAAATGGAAGTTATTATCTCCTTGTTCATTTATTTCATGAAAAAAACTTTACACAGATTTGATTTTGATAACTGGTAAATTCTTTTGACATATTCTACAATTAATAACTTTACTTATCATTTTGAAATTTTCATAGTTCAATAAATTTTCCCTTAAAGGGGTATTTTTCCTTTTCGGGTATTTAACTGTGCAAAACATTTGGAATAGCTTCTATCAACAAATTTTGTTCACTTAAAATGTCAGATTCTCTTCCTTTACAACATTTTCACATTTCTAAAATAATGCGAATCAAAATGTATTTCCTAATATCTTAAACCTCAAATGCACTTAATAAACTTATACTTACCTAAACTTTAAATATATTTGAGTAATGACGAACTTCACATACATTAACTTTAAGCAGGATATAAAAGTGTGGGTTTAGATAAACTGATACTGGCCATTAAAATCCATGAAAAATAGGTACTATATCTTTAAGATTCTTGTTTGATTCCTAAATACAGATCAATAAATGTATGATTCATCGTCATAGGCTCTTAAATACATTGGTAAATAAAACACAATGTAATCAGTACTACTCCTCAGATTTTTTTTAATGTTTACCAGAATTACAGCACACTTTCTTCAGTATGTCTGTAATACAAGGCATTAAGAGAGAGTCTCACCTTGTGTTGTGTTTCAGTTAATTAGTGTTTCCTTAAGGCCATCGTTGGGTCAGATATTACTTCCTTGTTACGTTTTATATTGTGTATTTTTTGTTGTAGAGTGATATGTGACACTTATATAAGATAGTTTATAATCGTACAAGGTGATACCACACCAGTCGTCTGTTAAATTATACAAGAAATATCTATACTAATGGAGGTACACTGCATCATAATCCTCCCCAACATTATACTCCCTTTCTTAATTTCATAACACGTATATCCTCGCTTTACTTGCACAAAAATGGATAGGAAATATTTCGTGCCGTAGAATGAAGCTTCTCATTCATGCATTTTCAATTTATCTTTTTTCCGTTTTTTCTTATCTATTATTTAAAAAAATTTGTTTACACTGGTGACAAATTGAACACCTATAACACCTATACCGTGAAAAGTCGCTCTGAAACAATAAAAGTAAAAAGAAGACTGAACATTTGATTGGCACCTGTGCATACATGCAGAATACAGGTAAGATAGATGTGTCCTGTTGGTACAGGCCAGATAGGACATCCATGTGACATTCTACTTAAGGAATTAGTTAATGTCTAAACATAGCACTGTCACCATTCTCCTTGTAGCTCCAACTACCATATGCACAGACTTGAGCGATAACGTGCCCTTAACTGCCATTTAAGATATATAGGCCTGAATTTATGTATGTATTATGACCATGCACATACCACTTAAATGTTAAATATCCCGAGGACTTACAATTTTGAATAACATAAGTCATCATTCAGTTGCAAGAAAGAGATTTGCCTTTTTTTAAAAACATATTTCATTTTTTTAAAATATTGAACTGAGTTTCTTAATCATGTCATGGGGTTCTTAATTATGTCAATACGGAGAATTTAATATGAATCCATGATAACATTTCATCTTACCAGAATCTTAACTTTTACTCCTAATTTTCAGGTAACATATGATTTTTTTTATTGATTTTAATTACAATATATGAATACATTATACTGTAGATAAAAGACAAGAAGAAAACACCTATGTGTTAATGAGTACAATGTAACTTAGGAAGGTCTATTTACCAACCATTAATATACTAAGATTGAGTTAACAGACTTTGTGATTTATCTTGTTAACATGACCAATATGAAAACTCGTAATCAATTTACAAGAGGTTAAATAAAACAATCTACTTTTATGACGTGTGAGATTCTAACAGCCTCCAGTCAGAATTTATGAATAAATAGTGTGAAAGTAATGTTTATGTCAGATGTCTGGGTTTATAGCTTTTGTGGTGTAAATGTATATTGTACAACACAGGATGGACACGAGATTGGTCCGAATGTTCCGTAGCCTTAGGGACCTGGGAAAGGCAAAACTAATTTATCTCATGTCCTTTTTATCTAATTTCTGTTAACTTCAGCTCGAGTGACTTTAATGACACTTTGATTGACGTGATTTTTTTCCAGAGGAGTTGTTGAAACCGTTGAGAATGATTCTGACAATGGCCGTTTCCACAAACTTAATATTAAAGTTCATCCCCTTTAATAAACAACCATCTTAATAAATTTAATTTGTTAAGATATTTTACAGACCAGCAGGATTCTCTTTATTCACATGGTGCAGAAATACATACTTTATAGTCACGAAACAGGACATCTCTATTTATGTTACATTTAACATAAATGTTTAAAAGTGAGCAGGTCTCAATGTGTGCACGTTACTTTGACATTTTTGTGGGATTGTCATCAATAATACACAGATTTTTATATTTGATATTTAAACTCCAGTAGGAGTGAAAATCCATCAATAACCTACCAGTGACGCTGAAGTCACACCCATCCTGATCTCAAAAAGCCAATATCATTTTAACAAAAGAATATATTTACATTGCGAGAAGTCCAGGTTTTCTACCTGTACATGTGAGTTGATTCATTTCTTTATGTCTTGTTATTCTGTATAATCTGTTATTGACTGTTACAGGTGCGTCAGACTGGTCCTACCATGGAAACAGAGGTAAGTATATATATATGTAGATAAAGCATGTTCTTCCACATCAATGGCTGGTCGGTAAAATCATTTTAATGTAAATACCAACTGCAATGATCCTATATATTGAGCTGTCACTACAGATGGGATGTATAAACAAACTTTGTTTGAGTATATATAAAGAATGAAAATTTGAAGTTCCTAATCCACCAAATTTGTATTAAACTCACTGGAGTGTCTTTTCATCCTCTATACAGAAAACTGTTATAAGATGTTATATTTTGTTCAGTGTAAATAGTTACAGATGTAATATAAGGTGTTATATTTTGTTCAGTGTAAATAGTTACAGATGTGGTATAAGGTGTTATATTTTGTTCAGTGTAAATAGTTACAGATGTGGTTTAAGGTGTTATATTTTGTTCAGTGTAAATAGTTACAGATGTAATATAAGGTGTTATATTTTGTTCAGTGTAAATAGTTACAGATGTAATATAAGGTGTTATATTTTGTTCAGTTTAAATAGTTACAGATGTGGTATAAGGTGTTATATTTTGTTCAGTGTAAATAGTTACAGATGTGGTATAAGGTGTTATATTTTGTTCAGTGTAAATAGTTACAGATGTGGTATAAGATGTTATATTTTGTTCAGTGTAAATAGTTACAGATGTGGTATAAGGTGTTATATTTTGTTCAGTGTAAATAGTTACAGATGTGGTATAAGGTGTTATATTTTGTTCAGTTTAAATAGTTACAGATGTAGTATAAGGTGTTATATTTTGTTCAGTGTAAATAGTTACAGATGTGAATGGGACCTCTATATATTTATTGATATTTCTCTATAAAATCACACAAAAATTAGTCATACACATTAACTGGTGCAAAATCATTCAACACTTAGTCTCTGTATTTATAGTAACACACTCTAAAATAAGTCACGCAAAAGAAACCAAACTATGTAGGCATGATCAATCTAGCATTGAAAGCATCAAATTGTGAATGAGGACCAATTGGATATGTTGGCTATGTATTGTCGTACAGAAGTGAACCTACTTCACATGTTATAGCCTCTATAGGGGTCTATGTAATGCTACCTTTCAAATAAAACATTTCAAATATTACAATTTTTACATGTCATTTACTCAACTGATGATAGAAACAGGAATCTTTATAAATCACCGGTGCAACAAAAGATTAATGAAATCTCCAAATCAAATTTGATTTTCAAGTATCTGTCTAAACAGCTACTTTCAAACTTGATTACGAAGTTCTGATCACAGTAAAATTATTTCATTTAGATATATAGCCTGTTAATGGTACTCAACAGTGCAGGTTTAAATAGACTCCGATGAATGCTACTTTATCAAAGACTGTTGCACATATTTTCTTGATAATTGGAAAAGAAGTCAGAAATGGTGTGATTCTCCCGTAGATTGATCTGACAGAAAAACCCAAAAGGTCCCTGACCTATACAAATCCTCACAGAAAGATTTATTCAGTTGCAGCCTTAGAGTTTTTTATGATCTTGTTTTAAATTGTTTGTAAATAGATAGCTTAAGGACACAGAGAGATGAAGTTCAGATACAAGCTCTTATTGTTACAGAATAAAAATCTTCAAAGTCTTGTTGTTGACAGAGTATCAACTTCGTCTTGTTAGATGTACCTGGAGATGTTAAACACAAGAATAACATGTAATTATATACCTCACATGTTGACACTGTTCCAGTTCATCAGGATAGAACAAATTTGTACTTTAAGAGAAATTAAGTATTACAGGAAGCTTCGTGTAGACTTCACCCAAACTTTAACATGACATAATTAATTAATTAACAATAAAATGTCGGTGAAATTCAGAATCTGAAACGTGTTAAAATGACCATACATAGATATAAATATATATATATATATTCCAGCTTTGGTTATGACAGCTTAAAGTCTTCAAGAGAAAGCAACACTGAGCTAAATGGAAAACTTAATCTAACCCAATTGATTAACAATGACTAATTTACAATAAAATCTTGTTTATATCAATATATACATCACACTTGTATATATAAGTTTTCATGAGAACATCCACCAACCCCCATCCCCTAAGTGAACACTACCTTGTGATACATATTGGTGTCACACCCCAGTAAACACAGCTACCCTGTGATACATATTGGTGTCACACCACAGTGAACACAGCTACCCTGTGATACCTATTGGTGTCATATCCTAGTGAAAACAGATACCATGTGATACATATTGGTGTTACACCCCAGTGAACACAGCTGCCCTGTGATACATATTGGTGTCACACCCTAGTGAACACAGCTACCCTGTGATACCACTGTTGGTGTTACACCCTAGTGAACTCAACTACCCTATGATACTTATTGGTGTCAAACCCTAGTGAACACAGCTAATCTGTGATACATATTGGTGTCACAACCCAGTAAACACAACTACCCTGTGATACCACTGTTGGTGTCACATTCCAGTGAAGACAACAGTTCTATGATACCTTATTCCTTGAATAAAAAAAGGGGGGGGGGTGGGGGGTGGGGGGTGGGAATGAGGATTGTATGATCAGAAAATTCTTGGAAGACTGCAACCTACACTTAAAATATGCTTGTAATACATTTACACACCATGCATAAGACAAGTGGTGTTTGGATTTCTGATTCACAAGCAAACTCCATATGAAAATTTTGATAAAATACTAACTTAAATTACCATCACCTTTTGAATATTATGCTTGGATTACCAATTATAAACATGAGATTATCCATAGATTTTTAATATAGCTTCATTTCTTCAATCCTGTTTATTTCTAGGGGTCTCTGTGGTTGTGTTCCAATAGGAAAATCCTCAGTTAGATCCTTAAAACTCAGGAATGTTGATAAGTTACTATCTGTGACAAACCATTATAAAATTCCTCCAAAGTCCCGGTAGCCAGGGTCAAGCAGTCAGTTGTTTGTGCCAAATCAAACAAATCAGACTATGGTCTAGATTTCTGGACTTGAAGAACTGTAGCTGTTATATTGGATCAGAGATAAAGTTCATTTCATAACTGATGGTGTTATACCTGGACCAGATCTAGTTCACTGAATTACCAGTAGTACTTTATCACTTTTTTAATTTTTAATTAATTGTTAATTTTACAAATTCAGTAAAACTTTCTATTAAAAATTACAATATGTCAAATGAAATTTTATACTATGCATAATGCATTGTATATCTAGATAAAGTAATCAAATAAAGGAAATCTTTCATGGATTCATTTAAGTCAAAGCCAACTATTTAATATTAAGATAACAATAGGACGAAAGCTGTAGATTTAAACTTTGATTGTGAAATCTAATATGTATTATGGATTACCTCCCCTTAGAGCATGTTACCTAACTTCATTGCAGTGACAAACCACAGGTAGAGAGATGCTAGACAGATATGTCTGGCTGTCTACCTCAACACGTACTGTCTGTCTGACAATGACATAGTACATAACTCAAGCAAAGTATTCTCACAGTCATCTTAACTTTGAAAAAAACTCAACCTAGTTTTTGATATGTAATGCTGAAAAAATAACAAATATCTCTAGATGTCAACTAATTCAAAATTTTCTGTTGGTTGCCAAATTGTATATATGTCAATCAGAAAAACACTTATCTAGGGAAAAGGTAGGATTCCACATAGTTATACAGCGGTATGTGCACAGGAGTCTATTCAGGTAATTAATTAGTGTCAGATTTCAAAATTCATTTGAATGGGGACATATTAATAAAGTGACATTTTTGTACTAATTGACCTTGATGTTCTTGTGTGACTTTCAGGGACACATGAATGGGACAAGCTGTTCCCTGGAGCATGCGCGGGGAAACACCAGTCACCCATCAACATTATAACTAGGAAAACTACCTACAATGACAAACTCAGTGATTTCGCTCTGTTTCACGACCCACCGAAAGACGGGTCAAAGTTCAACATACTTAACAATGGACATGCTGGTTAGTATTAGGCAATAGGCCCAACCTACATCAAATGGAGTTTCAGTATAAAAATTTGTTGTCCTGTAATAAGCACATCGCCCTTGAATTTACAGATAATGTAATGGTTGCTTGGGCTTGTATAGAAATCTGATAACCAACATTAAAGCTGTATAGGTATATGCTACATAATACTTATTACTAATTATAAGTAAATATTTTATCAAACCCTTAAAAGAGAATATGCCATTGTCAGAAACATAAATCCTTCAAAAGTCTAACATTAAAGTAAGTTTTATTTAAAACAGATTGCATAATAAAGCCCATTTATATAAGCTAAGCTTCCAGGAACCTGACCTCTATCCTTCACCTGTTGATATCTGTTGTCTCTGTTATCAGTACAGGTAAACCTGTTTGGGCCATTCTTTGTGGCTAACGGTGGCCTCCCATCCATCTATACCACGGCCCAATTCCACTTCCACTGGGGCCATGCAAACCACCATGGATCCGAGCATTACATCAATGGTCGCGCCAGTCCTATAGAGGTATATATGTGTAGGATTCGTTGTTTGTGTATTTCTGATTATATATGTCTATAATACTATGTCTGCATAACTTTTGTTAAATCCATAAGAAATAAATAGAAAAGTGCTGGGATCCAACAATCATATATGTTGTCTATTTGTTTTCCTTCAACTTTGGTAAATCTGTTGTTCCAGTTCAATAACAATTACTATAACTTTAGTATGCAAAAACAGTACCAGTACCCATGTTTTTAGCACAAAAAACAAAAAATTCAAATATCCTGCTCTTACTATAGCCCAGTGAGCTGTTATAACAGAGAGAGAGAGAGAGAGAGAGAGAGAGAGAGAGAGAGAGAGAGAGAGAGAGAGAGAGAGAGAGAGAGAGAGAGAGAGAGAGAGAGAGAGAGAGAGAGAGAGAGAGAGAGAGAGAGAGAGAGAGAGAGAGAGAGAGAGAGAGAGAGAGAGAGAGAGAGAGAGAGAGAGAGAGAGAGAGAGAGAGAGAGAGAGAGAGAGAGAGAGAGACAGAGACAGAGAGAGAGAGAGAGAGAGACAGAGAGAGACAGAGAGACAGAGAGAGAGACAGAGAGAGAGAGACAAAGAGAGAGTGATCTCCCTTCCTCGTTCCTTATGGTGCTCACTGGCAGCTGATTCTCTACAACACAGTCCTGTTCAACCTCTGTCAGCCATTTAGATCATTAGAACCTTTGATACACTCACTGTCAGAACATTTATTATCTCAGAGGTACAAGAGTTGTCTTTCTTGCCACAGCTACACATAGTGAACTATGATTCCGAGACCTATGATACTATTGCTGATGCTATGGTGAAGCACCAGGGGTTAGCAGTATTAGGAGTTATGTTTGAGGTAAGTTCTTTTCTTTTTATATTTTTTCTCATCCAAGAGAATGACCTATATAATCCCCTTTCTTTCCTAAGCCCCTACCAACAAAACTCAAATGTTGACCATCATTGGTCCTCTTTCCCACATTTCTTCAGGGTTGTAATATGGTTAGTGTCTTAAATATTCCAGGTCAATCAAAATTTATTGCAACATTTCATAAGGTACACATAATATTTCAGATAAAACAAAAAAGCTGCTCTACAAAATTCTCCCAATATCAGCCAGCTTACTAAATGTGAAGTTCTTTCTGACATATCTGACTAAATGCAGCACCAATCACAATGATTGACCCATCATAGTGAAAGTCTCTGTCATATAATGTCAGACTGACCTAATATTAATTTTATTTCCTACAGATTAGTGAGCGAGACAACCCAGCCCTCACACCAATCATTGATGCCTTGGATATGATCCAGGATCCAGGTATATAACGGGAAACACCATCAGATAAAGGAATATTGACACAATACTTATACAATCCATACTTACCAACCGAAACTTACACAATAGGGATATATTGACAGGAAACTTACACGATAGGGATATATTGACAGGAAACTTACACAATAGGGATATATTGACAGGAAACTTACACAATAGAGGTATATTGACAGGAAACTAACACAATAGGGATATATTGACAGGAAACTTACACAATAGGGATATATTGACAGGAAACTTACACAATAGAGGTATATTGACAGGAAACTAACACAATAGGGATATATTGACAGGAAACTTACACAATAGGGATATATTGACAGGAAACTTACACAATAGGGATATATTGACAGGTAACTAACACAATAGGGATATATTGACAGGAAACTAACACAATAGGGATATATTGACAGGAAACTAACACAATAGGGATATATTGACAGGAAACTAACACAATAGGGAGATATTGACAGGAAACTTACAAAATAGGGACATATTGACACCATGCTTAATACTCAATGGGAAATTATTGAAACAATATTTAGATAATTACAATTATTGCTGCATTATTGATAAAAAAAACTTCCACAAAGTTCAATTATAGTGATCAATTCCTCATATTTCAACTTTCACTCATTTTTCAATCTGCTCTGTAAACAGGGTGAATGTTTAAGAGAAGCTTCAGTTTTATATTTTGGGCTGTACATAAGGGGGAATTAAACATTGGTAAAAAAAGTGAAGGTGAAAGAGAGCCTGTTTAAATATTTCCCTGTGTGCTGTAGATGTTTACAGTCAAATTTAGAATGAAGTATATTTACTTTTTATTTAAGATATCAATATGGAGGTAGAGATTCCAGCCACAAGATTGCGTGATTTCTTGCCAGAAGACACCAGTAAATATTATCGTTACAATGGGTCTCTGACCACACCGGGCTGCTTCGAAAGTGTCATCTGGACAATATTTGAAGATAAACAGACCATTTCGTTTAAACAGGTAAGCAAAATTTCATTTAGAAGCAGTTCTATAAACATAATCTCATTAAGACATGTAAAAATTGAATTGTCAAAGAAAGGTAAGTAGGACATAATCACATTTACACAGGTAAGTAGTTATACAGACATAATCACATTTACACAGATAAGTAGTTTTTATTCTCTAGCTAGTTCTTATTCTCTAGCTAGTTCTTATTCTCTAGCTAGTTCTTATGCTCCTAGCTAGTTCTTACTCTCTAGCTAGTTCTTATTCTCCTAGCTAGTTCTTATTCTCTAGCTAGTATCTTATTCTCCTAGCTAGTGCTTATTCTCCTAGCTAGTTCTTATTCTCCTAGCTAGTGCTTATTCTCCTAGCTAGTTCTTATTCTCCTAGCTAGTTTTTATTCTCCTAGCTAGTTTCTTATTCTCCTAGCTAGTTCTCATTCCCCTAGCTAGTTCTTATTCTCTAGCTAGTTCTTATTCTCCTAGCTAGTTCTTACTCTCTAGCTAGTTCTTATTCTCTAGCTAGTTCTTATTCTCCTAGCTAGTTCTTATTCTCCTAGCTAGTTCTTATTCTCTAGCTAGTATCTTATTCTCCTAGCTAGTTCTTACTCTCCTAGCTAGTGCTTATTCTCCTAGCTAGTTCTTATTCTCCTAGCTAGTTCTTATTCTCTAGCTAGTATCTTATTCTCCTAGCTAGTTCTTATTCTCCTAGCTAGTTCTTATTCTCTAGCTAGTTCTTATGCTCCTAGCTAGTTCTTATTCTCTAGCTAGTTCTTATTCTCTAGCTAGTTCTTATTCTCCTAGCTAGTGCTTATTCTCCTAGCTAGTTCTTATTCTCCTAGCTAGTTCTTATTCTCCTAGCTAGTTCTTATTCTCTAGCTAGTTCTTATTCTCTAGCTAGTTCTTATTCTCCTAGCTAGTTCTTATTCTCTAGCTAGTTCTTATTCTCCTAGCTAGTGCTTATTCTCCTAGCTAGTTCTTATTCTCCTAGCTAGTGCTTATTCTCCTAGCTAGTTCTTATTCTCCTAGCTAGTGCTTATTCTCCTAGCTAGTTCTTATTCTCCTAGCTAGTTCTTATTCTCCTAGCTAGTGCTTATTCTCCTAGCTAGTGCTTATTCTCCTAGCTAGTTCTTATTCTCCTAGCTAGTGCTTATTCTCCTAGCTAGTTCTTATTCTCCTAGCTAGTGCTTATTCTCCTAGCTAGTTCTTATTCTCCTAGCTAGTGCTTATTCTCCTAGCTAGTTCTTATTCTCTAGCTAGTTCTTATTCTCCTAGCTAGTTCTTATTCTCTAGCTAGTGCTTATTCTCCTAGCTAGTTCTTATTCTCTAGCTAGTTCTTATTCTCCTAGCTAGTTCTTATTCTCTAGCTAGTTCTTATTCTCCTAGCTAGTTCTTATTCTCCTAGCTAGTGCTTATTCTCCTAGCTAGTTCTTATTCTCTAGCTAGTTCTTATTCTCCTAGCTAGTTCTTATTCTCTAGCTAGTGCTTATTCTCCTAGCTAGTTCTTATTCTCTAGCTAGTGCTTATTCTCCTAGCTAGTTCTTATTCTCTAGCTAGTTCTTATTCTCTAGCTAGTGCTTATTCTCCTAGCTAGTTCTTATTCTCTAGCTAGTGCTTATTCTCCTAGCTAGTTCTTATTCTCTAGCTAGTTCTTATTCTCCTAGCTAGTTCTTATTCTCTAGCTAGTGCTTATTCTCCTAGCTAGTTCTTATTCTCTAGCTAGTGCTTATTCTCCTAGCTAGTTCTTATTCTCTAGCTAGTTCTTATTCTCCTAGCTAGTTCTTATTCTCTAGCTAGTGCTTATTCTCCTAGCTAGTTCTTATTCTCTAGCTAGTGCTTATTCTCCTAGCTAGTTCTTATTCTCTAGCTAGTTCTTATTCTCCTTGCTAGTTCTTATTCTCCTAGCTAGTGCTTATTCTCCTAGCTAGTTCTTATTCTCTAGCTAGTTCTTATTCTCTAGCTAGTGCTTATTCTCCTAGCTAGTTCTTATTCTCTAGCTAGTGCTTATTCTCCTAGCTAGTGCTTATTCTCCTAGCTAGTTCTTATTCTCCTAGCTAGTGCTTATTCTCTAGCTAGTGCTTATTCTCCTAGCTAGTTCTTATTCTCCTAGCTAGTGCTTATTCTCTAGCTAGTTCTTATTCTCTAGCTAGTTCTTATTCTCTAGCTACTTCTTATTCTCTAGCTAGTTCTTATTCTCTAGCTAGTGCTTATTCTCTAGCTAGTTCTTATTCTCCTAGCTAGTTCTTATTCTCCTAGCTAGTTCTTATTCTCTAGCTAGTTCTTATTCTCTAGCTAGTTCTTATTCTCTAGCTAGTTCTTATTGTTCTTATTCTCTAGCTAGTTCTTATTCTCTAGCTAGTGCTTATTCTCCTAGCTAGTTCTTATTCTCTAGCTAGTTCTTATTCTCCTAGCTAGTTCTTATTCTCTAGCTAGTTCTTATTCTCCTAGCTAGTTCTTATTCTCCTAGCTAGTTCTTATTCTCTAGCAAGTTCTTATTCTCCTAGCTAGTGTTTATTCTCCTAGCTAGTTGTTATTCTCCTAGCTAGTTCTTATTCTCCTAGCTAGTGCTTATTCTCCTAGCTAGTTCTTATTCTCCTAGCTAGTTCTTATTTTCTAGCTAGTTCTCATTCTCCTAGCTAGTTCTCATTCTCCTAGCTAGTTCTTATTCTCTAGCTAGTTCTTATTCTCCTAGCTAGTTCTTATTCTCCTAGCTAGTTCTCATTCTCTAGCTAGTTCTCATTCTCCTAGCTAGTTCTCATTCTCCTAGCTAGTGCTTATTCTCCAAGCTAGTTCTTATTCTCCTAGCTAGTGCTTATTCTCCTAGCTAGTTCTTATTCTCCTAGCTATTTCTCATTCTCCTAGCTAGTTCTCATTCTCCTAGCTAGTGCTTATTCTCCAAGCTAGTTCTTATTCTCCTAGCTAGTGCTTATTCTCCTAGCTAGTTCTCATTCTCTAGCTAGTTCTCATTCTCCTAGCTAGTTCTCATTCTCCTAGCTAGTGCTTATTCTCCAAGCTAGTTCTTATTCTCTAGTTAGTTCTTATTCTCCTAGCTAGTTCTTATTCTCCTAGCTAGTTCTTATGCTCCTAGCTAGTTCTTATTCTCCTAGCTAGTTCTTATTCTCCTAGCTAGTTCTTATTCTCTAGCTAGTTCTTATTCTCCTAGCTAGTTCTTATTCTCTAGCTAGTTCTTATTCTCTAGCTAGTTTTTATTCTCCTAGCTAGTTCTTATTCTCCTAGCTAGTTCTCATTCTCTAGCTAGTTCTCATTCCCCTAGCTAGTTCTCATTCTCCTAGCTAGTGCTTATTCTCCTAGCTAGTGCTTATTCTCCTAGCTAGTTCTTATTCTCCTAGCCATCACATTTTTATTCATCTATAGCTAGCATATTCTTTAAGAAATGAGTTCCTAGCAGTCAAAATTAATAATTACAGGCTATTCACATAATTTTATTATGGAATTCAATATGTAAATCTTGATATTAATTTCAGCTCTCAAAGTTTAGAAATTTGTTGGAAAAGAAACACAGGAAGCATGGTGGTCATTCTCGTAGAAGCCGAAGACATATGAAGCGAGGCTCAGCGGCAGCTCTTGATGAGGCTGGAATCAAAGGCAACATTGCAGAGGAGCTGGAACTAGAGGCAGCACTGAAACGTGAATTAGCAACTCACACTGATGAACCACATCACCAGGATCCAGTTGGTCATGCAAACATTGGAGAAACACCAACCAAATTTCAGTTATATGATGAAGAAGTTCCTAAAGAGGCTCAGACTGATACAGAGATGAAACCAACTACTGAAGACCATGAGGATCATGATGAGGAAGCTACCCCCGCGCCAAAACCAAACCATCATCATCATCCAGACCATCACCATGGAAATAGTGCTGGTACAGAGATTGAGGTGGAAGAAGTAGAAATGATACAGGAATACCTTGTAAACAACTTTAGGCCAGTTCAGCCCCTAAACGGTCGTATTATTCAACGCAGTTTTGAATTTGAAGATGTCAGAGTTCGCCAAATTCATGGATCCACTCGATCTCGAAATTACAACAGTTATGAAGTACACAATGCTGGAAACCCATTACACATATCACATGTAGTCATTCTTGTGTCAGCCATATTGTCCGTTATCATGTATCTATAAATGCGTACAGAAATGTGTGAATACATCCTCTAACTATACAACCCTAGAAGACTATAGTGGACCTTTATACAGCTGTGTTGACTGTAGCAGGAAATATATCATCATACTTTGCAGCTACCACATCCATCATCATCCATGTCAAGTTCTTTTATACATTTGAAGGAAATAATTGTTTTATTTTAAAAATTGTATCAATACCTGATGTCTGCAATTATATAATTATCCTCGTCCAAAGGGTTATGATTACCTATCTGTAATTTGATCATGGATAACTGTGGCTAATACATAAATAGTCAGAACCCTTTGGACTAAAATGATCCATGTCAAGTTTTCTCATAATGTACCAATAGATAGAAACCTGTTTACTTCTATAATCAGTGAGGATGGGAGTGAAAGGATAAAGAACAGATATATATACATGTATATATTTTGTTTATATGTGTCAGCTAGTGTTTAATGTATCATGTAAGCATATTTTTTACATTGAAGGAATATAAACACTTTAATGCTATGGTAGTACAATACTCGCAGGGGTGTGACACAATATATTAACAGGTCTGTATAATACATATACAAACCATGGGGTGGGATATTTAATAAAAGGTGACAAGTCCCTGTGATTGGACTGACATGCATTGTGAATACTGACACAGTGATGTTACAGTTAAGTGTAAATATTTATAATTGGTAGTTTCATTATTTGATATTCAGCATAGTGAATAATATAGATAAGTTGAAGAGCCTAACCTTACATAATTAGCAATTGTGGCGGAGAAAGCTTGTCAACAAAGAATTTAATTAGCAATATAAAGGAATGTTTATTTCTTAAGTTATACATTAAGAAGGGATTATTTTAACATGACTTTTAAATTTAGCCAGCTAAAAAGAAATTTGAGAATTAAAGTTTTATTAGTCTCCAATGAAGTTAAAATGATTTCATTGTCATTGTGATCACGTAACCAAGACTTTGTGAAAATAAAAAAGAATCTACTGAGCTATTATGTTGAAATCTTTCATTTTCATCACGACAAATTGCAAACCTAATAATGACACAACTGTAATATTAAACAGCTACCAGTGTCTGACTTACACAGTGTGAGACCTCATTAACAGCATAGAAACAGAATTTTTGTATGTAAAACAGGGACCATGACAGTAATCAAATTGTGAACTTTTATATCTAATTAGCAATACCATGTGTCCATTGAGACACAAAATAGTATCAACATCACCATGGAACCTCTGCTGTATCATTACACATAAAAGTAGACCTACACTTCCTACACATTATCTTTTGTGGTTTTCTTTTATAAAATATAATGTATCATGATGTTTTCATAAGCTAACCACTTTAATTAACATACAGAAACCAGAGTACTCAGAATAAACTAACATGTAACACAATCACAGAATTGTTGAACATCTGATTGGAGGACTGATAAATCTCAATCAGCTGTTTCATAATTAGTGTACATTAAGTTATAGTGTTCTAATGAGTCTACCACTTTTTGAGTTGATTAACAAATGAAGTTTCAGCACTACCTTGAGATGATTCTCTAGGTGAATTAACATAAGGGAGGTAACTCCCATTGTTACTCAGGATAAGTTAATAGAATTCCACAAGCTGGTAGGTATATATTTATCAGTATCATTCTTTCTTTATCTGAAAATTAAAATTTATGTAAATATGAATCTTATAATAACAAATAAATAAACCAACTTACACATATTTACATACTTAAATTCAATATCTATTTATCTATCTATTTATTCCTTGTTCTATTTAACAAGCTGAATTCAGCAGGTGAGACAAAATAGGAAAGTGAGTAAAATGGAATAACATTAAGTGAATGTAAAGAGAAGAAGGGGGATGGGATAGGGGTATAGAGATCAATTTAAAAGTAGTGGTGGTGGTGGTGGTGGTGGTGGGGGGGGGGGGGGGGGGGGGGGGGGAGTCAATTGATAACGTTACACCACATCACATTCTCAGGTCATCACTTTTACAACAAATTTATAACAGTACAAGGTCATCATTAAAATAAACAGCTGACAACTGAAATATACAAACCATGCAGCAAAACATAGAAAGAAATGAAATCAACAGCATCATCTGTTACAAGGACACATGACTTAATGATATTAACGCCAGACAAACAATAACATATACATAAATTTGCTGGTAACACTTATGGAAATGGTTTGAGATTCAGTGACCCTGAGGATGATCAATTCAGTGCATCCATAAGATGTCTGTTTAAGTCAGACAAAAGATGTCACAGATATCATATAAATATTTCCAAGTGTCATCAGAAAGAAGATTTAGTTATAGTGTGATGTGAACCAGGGACGCCAATCTCAACAGCATGGCTGGCTTCCTCTCACCTCTGTAAAGATAACCTCCAGGCAAATGTCTTTCAGTATCTGTTTTACCACGGGTTCTTGAATTCATATGTTTGGAACCATTGAGTTCTATAATGGTCATACTGTGTAAGATTTAGCAAAGTAACAAATATAAGATAAAACTACAAGACTCTGACAAGGGTAACATTATGTAGTCTAGCTTTACCAGACCAAATAAAGACATCTACGTATTCTCTACCAACCATACCTGTTTGACTCATGTCAGAAATTCAAACTTAACCAAAATCACATAAAGTTTCCTTCTACAGATTAACTTAGCCTTTAATAAAAAAAAAAGGAAATAATTTGTCAAGTTATACAGCATGGATGACCTTTTCTCTCAACAACCGACTCTAAAATCAGTCATGCCAGACAAATTCATATCCCATCACTGTAAGCTAGGCTGAGTTGTTTTCAACCATCATGCAAATGGAGACTTTGGATTTAGCCACATTCATTGATAGGTATATCTTAATAGAACTGATTCTCGTATACATTGATTCTGTATACACATTGATAGGTATATCTTAATAGAACTGATTCTGTGTTCACATTGATTCTGTATACACATGGATAGGTATATCTTAATAGAACTGATTCTGTGTTCACATTGATTCTGTATACACATTGATAGGTATATCTTAATAGAACTGATTCTGTATACACATTGATAGGTATATCTTAATAGAACTGATTCTGTATACACATTGATAGGTATATCTTAATAGAACTGATTCTGTATACACATTGATATCTTAATAGAACTGATTCTGTATACACATTGTAGGTATATCTTAATAGAACTGATATACACATCTTAATAGAACTGATTCTGTATACACATTGATAGGTATATCTTAATAGAACTGACTTAATAGAACTGATTCTGTATACACATTGATAGGTATATCTTAATAGCACTGATTCTGTATACACATTGATAGGTATATCTTAATAGAACTGATTGTATACACATGTAGGTATACATTGATAGGTATATCTTAATAGAACTGATTCTGTATACACATTGATATCTTAATAGAACTGATTCTGTATAGGTATATCTTAATAGAACTGATTCTGTATACACATTGATGATATCACATAATAGTATATCTTAATAGAACATATATCTTAATAGATGATTCTGTATACACATTGATATGTATACACATTGATAGGTATATCTTAATAGAACTGATTCTGTATACACATTGATAGGTATATCTTAATAGAACTGATTCTGTATACACATTGATTCTGTATACACATTGATAGGTATATCTTAATAGAACTGATATACACATTGATAGGTATATCTTAATAGCACTGATTCTGTGTACACATTGATAGGTATATCTTAATAGAATTGATTCTGTATACACATTGATGTGCATATCCTAATAGAACTGATTCTGTATACACATTGATTCTGTATACACATTGATAGGCATATCTTAATAGAACTGATTCTGTATACACATTGATAGGTATATCTTAATAGAACTGATTCTGTATACACATTGATAGGTATATCTTAATAGAACTGATTCTGTATACACATTGATAGGTATATCTTAATAGAACTCTGTATACACATTGATAGGTATATCTTAATAGAACTGATTCTGTATACACATTGATAGGTATATCTTAATAGAACTGATTCTGTATACACATTGATAGGTATATCTTAATAGAACTGATTCTGTATACACATTGATTCTGTATACACATTGATAGGTATATCTTAATAGAACTGATTCTGTATACACAATGATAGGTATATCTTAATAGAACTGATTCTGTATACACATTGATTCTGTATACACATTGATAGGTATATCTTAATAGAACTGATTCTGTGTACACATGGATAGGTATATCTTAATAGCACTGATTCTGTTTACACATTGAGAGGTATATCTTAATAGAACTGATTCTGTATACACATTGATAGGTATATCTTAATAAAACTGATTCTGTATACACATTGATAGGTATATCTTAATAGCACTGATTCTGTATACACATTGATAGGTATATCTTAATAGAACTGATTCTGTATACACATTGATAGGTATATCTTAATAGAACTGATTCTGTATACACATTGATAGGTATATCTTAATAGAACTGATTCTGTATACACATTGATAGGTATATCTTAATAGAACTGATTCTGTATACACAATGATAGGTATATCTTAATAGAACTGATTCTGTATACATAGGTATATCTTAATAGATTGATTCTGTATATATCTTAATAGAACTGATTCTGTATACACATTGATAGGTATATCTTAATTAATAGGTATATCTTGATAGAACATGTGTATACACATTGATAGTTATATCTTAATAGAACTGATTCTGTATACACATTGATAGGTATATCTTAATAGAACTGATTCTGTATACACATTGATAGGTATATCTTAATAGAACTGATTCTGTATACACATTGATATCTTAATAGAACTGATTCTGTATACACATTGATAGGTATATCTTAATAGAACTGATTCTGTATACACATTGATTCTGTATACACATTGATAGGTATATCTTAATAGAACAGATTCTGTATACACATTGATTCTGTATACACATTGATAGGTATATCTTAATAGAACTGATTCTGTATACACATTGATAGGTATATCTTAATAGAATTCTGTATACACATTGATAGGTATATCTTAATAGAACTGATTCTGTATACACATTGATAGGTATATCTT